TAAACAGACCCATGAGACTAATACTGTCTCATGGGGCTGACACACAGATCAAGTTCAAGTTCACTTTATTTGTATAGCACATTTACAACAGCCACTAGGCTGACCAAAGTGCTTTACAGAACAACCAGATTAAAATATAGTAAGACCTGCATAACAACACATAAAACACAAATAAGAGCAGCAAAGCTAAGCGAAACCTTAAAACCGGAGTGACAAAACAGTGTCAGACTCAAATATAAAATAGCGAAACAGGAGTAGCAAAGCAGTGTCAGACTACAAAACAAGAGCTGTTGGTCAGCATCGAAAGTTAACCACGGAAAATCCTTTTTCCACTCGGGGTTATATCTATAAATGTTCCTTTTGGTATCTCCCTTACTTTGATTTGGTAAAATTTGCTTCTGTCGATTCTTCCTCGCGGGCTCGTTTTGGGGTTTTCGTGGATCACTTGAAAATAGCGCTTCATTTTCTCGTCAACTAGCAGCTGCGTAGAAATTATAGGCGCGTTACTTAGGAATTGTGGGAAATGGAGTTGGACAAAATGACTCAATGCAGCCGGGACACAAGTTTTAATCACACAATAGACTACAACTACCAAGTATAATAGCAGTGTGCCATCAATCTCAAACGCAAATAAGCACAACAATCACTTCACACTATTAAGCGGCTGTGTTATGAACATGCAAAACTGTATCGCACGCATTGCACAATGCTTCCAAAGCATTACTGTCAGGCGTTTCCCTCCAAGATGTTTGTGATGCGGCAGGTCAGCCCGATCTCATGAAAGTGCGTATCTATACAACGAATGTTATTTCTCGTGCAATTTATACGCCAAAAATAGTTTTTGCGTCTATATGATACGCAGTTTTCGCGTGCATATGATACGCACTTTATGGCGTGTACTACGCACGCACTCCCCACCCCCTCCCCCCTAAACCTACCCAAGTGGTTTTCAGTGCGTAGCATATGCACGCAAAAACCATTTTTGGCGTATAAATGGCACGAGCAATGACATTCCTGGTATAGATACGCACTTTCATGAGACTGTGTTGGGCAGGCTAGTCCTCACCGCATACATTCGTGAGGCTTCACTAGCTGGACCTCGGCTCCAATCCTGGAGCACAGGTGCTTTCGCCTAGATGTTGCTCTTATGGCGGCGTGGGTATTAGCGTTCCCACGGCGTTTTGACGCAGCTCGAGTTCCCTTGAAAGGGAACGTCTCTGTTTCGTATGTAACGCTAGTTGCCTGAAGAGGGAATGAGACACTGCGTCACCCTGCCATACTCTCGGCATGCCCTTGATCGACTTGCTTCAGCCTATCAGAAGCTGACGCTGTTTGGTTCAGGTGTGCTTTATAGTTTCCTGGTCGATAACGTCACATGAAATTTCATCACGCCATTGGACTGGTTTCATACGTGCTTCATGACGCAATCACGGAGAGGCGTTCCCACAGCATTTCGACGCTGCGTCTCGTTCCCTCTTCAGAGGGTTACATATGTAACCGAGACCCGAGACTTTTTAATTCTGGGCTCTTTTTATTACTTTCATATGAATGCTGAAATGCATGCTGGGTCAGAAAAAGTGCATTTATTGAAGAGACAAACATGTTTTAATTCAATTGGGCCATTTTTATTTGACTTTGATACTGAAATATAAATGTTTTAGTGCATATATAAATAATGTATATATCTTTATGTGATGTTTTGTGTTGAAGCCAGTCGTCTCTTGCAATCAAGGTTAATGTTTTACTAATTATGCAACAGTAACACTCTTTTATTCTCTGTGAAATGAAGGTGCTTTGAAATGTAAACATTGTAAGTTGGCCTTGAAAGAGTATATGTGTCGTGCATGCATTGCCATTAGTTTGAATATCGTCACATTAGCATTTTAACAAATTGATTAACGGTTAATCTTAATGGCTACAAATAACAGCGCTGATCGTGACATAATGACGTCAGACTTGGAGGTTTAGAATGTAATTTTTCTTTACTTTAAATATCATAGAATTTGTTGTCTTTTTTTAATAGTCAAGCAACAAGATAATGAAGTAGTGCACTTGAACATAAAAGGAACCTGAATATGTTTTCAGCTCACGCGGACAGTTACGGATGAGTCTTTACTTTCTGTCCTGCCACACCAAACAGATGAGTTTGTTAAGACTTCAGGGCTAAATATCGCCACTACAGCATGTTCCCAAAGACTTAATCCCCATCAGCCATTAATGTTATTTTTAGAGGCCTCTGGGCCATCGTGAAATGAACGATATAAAGGGTGTCTAATGGAAATATGGGGAGGTGGTGCTGAACTTGAGTCTGCTTTAGTGCTGAGCTCACCTGAGGACTCGCAGAATTAAACTGAAACATGACATGAGAGAGAAATCAAGCTCTCCGTCTGACTGTTTACACTGCACAGCAAATGACCTCACTTTTAGCCAGCACAGATGGAGACATGAAAACACAACCAGATTTGCATTTCATAAGAGAAATAGCAGCACTTGCCAGGCAGGAACGCAATAGCTTTTTGAATTTAGATAGATAGATAGATAGATAGATAGATAGATAGATAGATAGATAGATAGATAGATAGATAGATAGATAGATAGATAGATAGATAGATAGATAGATAGATAGATAGATAGATGGATGATTTTGATATTCTGGCGCGAATTTTGGTTTGCAATAGACATGAACAATAATGTGTAACACTTAAAGGTGCTCTAAGCGATGTCACGCGTTTTTTAGGCCAAAACATTTTTTGTCACATACAGCAAACATCTGCTCACTATCCGCTGGCTGCCTGTCCCCTGAACACACTGTAAAGAAACGCGATCTCTGTAGACAGCCCAGGCTCCACACACAGCAACAAAAACAAACTGCGGCGACCCGCTCCCCGAAACATAACAAACTGTTCCAGCCAATGACCGACAAGAAGGGTTTGGGGGTGTGGCTTGGGGGGTTAGTGTGTGGATGAGGAGGAGGGAGGGTCTAGCTAGCCTCCGTTTTGTTTGACAATAGTTCGAACGTCAACAAGAAGTGACGTCACCCAGGATCGCTTAGAGAACCTTTAAGTATCGGGGAGCTTAACCATTTAGTGCTTTGTAAGTAATTAGCAAGATTTTAAAATGTATGCAATGTTTAATAGGGAACACCTCACTTTGTTATCAATGAGCCCAGGATTACGTTAAGTAACCCATTGTTTTCCCTTTCAATTATTTATAAATTTCTTGTTTTAAAGGAGCTGTATGTAAGAAATGTATTTCAATTAATCATAAAATGGCCCTGATGTGTCTCTAGACATTAAGAAATCATGTTCATTTCAAATACTTATATCACTGACAACAGTAGTACGGCCACGATATTGTCATTTAAAAAGTGAAGTTGCAGCCCTCAACTGATGTTGATGTTGTCATCTTGTGTTTTGGCCTGAAGCCCCACCCTCCACCTATCTACCAATCACGAAGTCAGTAGTGTTTCGGCATCCGGGTTGCCAGCTCTGCTCTAGTTGAAAGCTCCTTGTAGCAGCCTACGTTCCTGCTGGATCCTGCAGCCGATCTGGCAACCTCGAGTCATGGGGGAGGGGGAGGGGATGCACCGCTCTACAGTCATTTGAAAGTGATTGCAGTACCAGTTTTGGCCACAATCTTACATACAGCTCCTTTAAAGTCCCCCTGTAGTCAAAAATTGTATCCCTTAAAACTCATCTTTGATCACCAAAATGACACAATAAAAAAATTCTTCACATCTTAAAATAGCTTGAATGTAACTCAGCACCCTTACCTCATTTAGAATACGTTGTTCTATGAATATGCAAATTAGGACCCACTCACTCACTCAGGTAAGAGATCCACTCGTTGACGATCACACGTTGATCTGATTGGTTACAAGGTAGTTTGTGACGTCAGAAACACCAGCGATTTCAAACCGTGTTTTTGAGACTGTCTTTGGTTCACTGCAGTTTTAAGGAGAAAATACTCAAGTTGGACTTTAAGCCAAACGAACTTAATTTTAATGATTTTTCAATAGACTTGACATTTTGCTTCTCAAGTAAATGCATCTTGATTTAAGAATGTTTAGATATTTGTAATGGAAAACAAGACAAAGTACTGAATAAAAAAAATCGTTTTTTGTTTTTGTTTTTTTTGCATGTAGTGTAAAGATTTAGAACAAACCCTAACCAGAACACTTGAGGAACATGGCCTGAAAAGCCCTGTAAAGAATGAATGAAATTAATTTAGTTCACTGAGGGATGTTACACACACACACAGCCTCTCAAATGCAGGAAGAGAAAACAAGGACATGGAGAAAAAGCATCCACAAAAAGAGAGAAACACACGTGCGCACACACAATGTGCAATGTGCTGCTCCATCTGAGGTCATACCTGATTTAAAGCAGTGTATAGTGAGCTGAGAGTACGGAGCAATTTTCATCAGAGCATTTTCATCTGAGATAAGCAGCTCCACACAACTGTGACTGTTTATTACACAGTGTCGCCGTGAAGATCACGAGGAAGAGAGGAAAGCTCCTCTTCCTCCACCCTCATGTGAATCTGCGCTGATTAGCTCTGATTGGAGAATCACAAGCACCTACCACATGCTTCACTTATACCTAATCACAAAATCCATCTTACGCTGTAAGTCGAACCTACAACACTATCAAAACGCTCACACCTCACTGCATTGATGAGGTTGATATTACAGAATGCTGAATACATTTACAGTATGCTAACAGTATAGATCGTCCAAAAAAAAAAAAGGAATCATGCCTCATGTCATTTTAAATGTTTTGGACAAGGAGAAATGTTGAAGAATGTCCTGAACATTGGTTTGAACACACTGTTGATTAGCATTATCAGGCTTTAGGTTATGCACTAATGTGGTGTGATATTTACTTCTCTTTCAACCACTTGACCTCTTGTCTTGTTTTTTTTCTGGCTTTTAGAGAGTAGAGACCCACAGGTAAAACAAACAGCAAAGCTGTGTGGGACTCTGCGATTAACGTCTCTTTTGAGGACTTGGATGATGAAATGTCTGGCCTAGATCTACAAAACACCCAGATGTGCCGTCCCTGCCTGGGACAAAAATGTTATGAATGAAACATGAAAGACAAAACAGAACAACTGTCTGGAACAAACTCTTTTAAAGAACCAAACTTGGAAACTGTCAGATGACGGTACAATTCGAGAGGTTTTCAAAGCTACTTGAATTGCTGGAGTTTAAAAGTGTCTGTTTTCATGTTTAATTGCTGTGAACATCAGTATTTAGGGCTTCAAGCGTGTTGCGCTGAAACCCTATTGTAATTGTACGAATTTCCAAGGATCAGCATAATGCCCTAAAAGTGATCGGGCAGACCAAACCGTATGTCGTAAAGACTTAATCCAAATATATTATCAAAAACGGTGGTAATCAAATGTAAATTTAAACTTGTGTCCTTTTATTTTTTGAGGAAGCGCAACAAAAAACAGATTTACTAAATTAAACCATGGACAAAAAATATATTCCTTTAAATAATGTTTAACTAAAATGTATTATTATTTTTGTTATTATTATTATTTTGAGAAGTAGGCTACGTTCTATTGTATGCCTACAATAGTAATATATTTCTGTCATAATTTCTCCTAGTAAAACCGAACTTTTATTTTGACGGGTTGTAGTGAAGACCAAAAGTGTAAAAAAAAGTGTTTCAAAGTGTATTTTGACAATGGTTTTGCTTTTCTCAAATAAAATTATGAAAATGCTCATAAGGCGTTCTCTCAGAGCAGCTCTGGAAATGTTCATGTATTCATATCCTCAAATTGTTAGTGAGACGCTGAAAACACCATGAATGTCACGCGTACTTGAGTATGTAGGCTACTAGACAAAGCGGCGCAGCTCAGCAGAACAAATAGGCTTATATATTTACATGCGGTATTTTTGTGCTTAAATATTCACAGACCATATCGCATTGGATTTATTGCACAGTTCTACTTTCCATGTATTCATCCATCCATTATTTTGCGTGTTTTAGGTGACATCTGCGTTATGTGAATAATTCCATTGGATTCCGGGATTCCCTCTGCATCACGTATTCGGCCTTATAAGTTATAATCGGGACATACCTTTATCTGCAGGAGTGATGGTGTCCTATGTATCCTCCTTTTGCAGCCACTTTGCGTCCAATTTTTTTTGCAAATTGGATATCTATCCTCGAGGACAGCCACGCTTTTTTCCTACAAAGTATTTTCAGACTGGCCATAATTCGCTTCATAAGAATTCGAGGGCGCTTCACTTTCAGCTTCAGCTGGGTCTGCGTCACCTTTCTTGCGCGTTTGTTCTCCCGCCCTTCAACCAATGCAGTAGTTTCCGGAGTGTGATTTTTTTTTCCTCCCTTGTATTATTATTATTTACTCAGTAAATACCAGTGTGGCGTCCTGCTCGCCACACTGGTATTTTGTATTTTGTGAAAAAACCTACTTTTGCGAAGTAGTCCTAGGTTTTTGCCCAATCAGAACGAAACCAGTGCATAAATATTCTCTGGAGTCTGATTGTCAATAATTATCCCCCCCAAAAAATGCGAATTTTCGATTTACGTCTGCGAAGGGACGCCAAAACTTTTTAAGTGCCCGTGGCCACTTTTACCAAAACGCCTCCCTCTCTTGAACGGAATGAGATTTCACCAAACTCAGTACACTTATGTACAGGCTCAGTCTGTGGCAGCGTGAAAAAGCAATGAAGTTCGAGCAGCGAGAAGGTTAACGGAGGCCAATCAGAAAGAAACTCGCTAGGCCTGTTTGACTCACGGCCAGTGAGAAATTACAAAGAAATCAGCCACCTAGGGGCGCTTTCGCGTTTTTCATGTGCGTAAAGGAATGCATTTCACACGATTTTCCGCACATGCCCATGACATTCATACTATATGGTAGAACTCCCTATTCTGAACAACTTTGCCTCTATAGGACCACCACTGTCGAATCGAATTGTTCATTGAATATTGGAGATTATTTCAAAAACCTACTTTCGCCAACTAGTCCTAGGCTTTTGGCTCAACCTTGATAACTGTTAAAAAGCTTTAAAACATATGTTTGCAGAAATCAGCAGAATTTCCTCCAAAAACAGAGTATTCTGTCTGGACCTGGCAACTGCTCATTACTTGGCGGCAGTGGCTCAGTGGTTCATGTTGGTTGTCTACAAACCGGAAGGTTGGTGGTTCAATTCCTGGTTCCACCTGACCAAGTGTCGAGGTGTCCATGAGCAAGACACCTAACCCCAGCTGTGTGTATGTGTGTGAGAGACACCTAACCCCAGCTGCTCCCGACGAGCTGGATGGCGCTAACCCCAGCTGCTCCCGACGAGCATGGCTGACACCGCCTTCGGTGTATGAGTGAGTGAATGCAAGGCAATATGTAAAGCGCTTTGGTGGCCATTGGGTCTGTGAAAGCGCTATATAAATGCAGTCCATTACTTGATATCGGTCATCAATTTAAAGTTCATTACTGTTCCTCAGCCAAAATGCCCAGTCATCTCAATGCTTTGTGAACCAACTCAATTTAGTATGTGCACATTTGGAGACCAATCACATGGCAGCGCTTGAAATTAGCACACTTTTTGAGAGGATTAGAATGTTTTTTAAATAAGCCATTCTGCTCAGATTATCCACCCAGAATATCTCCATTTTCCCTGTGCATGCCTTTAAAATGATTGCCCTGAGAAAATGTGAAACCTTTAATCGCTCACTGCAAGGGAGAGAGAGAGTGTTTTATTCTTGCAATGCAGATGTTTCCATCTGAGAGATTACTGAGCGGATATCGTCATTGCAGAGACTTCAGTGTTACGGACCATTGTATTTAAAACAATACAACTTTAAAAGCTTTAAACTCTATTGAAAGAACACATACATAATGCATATTAAAATATTGTGTTATCTTAGCAGCAAGATTAAGCTCTGTTGAACCCTATTTTAATGACTTATGGAAATGCTGCCTACAGACTGTTCCAATTTGGTAACTAATGAGGTTACAATGCACATTCCTATATAGACATCATACAGACAGTGCCCTTTTGTTTTGGGTAATCAAACAAAGGCAAGACTGAAGTGGAAAAAAATCGTCTTTTTTAACACCGTATTCCCTGGGGTACGTTGGAAAAGAGTTTGTTGTAAACTTGTTGTGGCATGCAATCAACATTGCTTGCTGAAATAATGGAGTAAAAAGTAATAACCAAAGTAATTCATTTAAAAGACATATCTTGATGTTGATAAGCAAATCAACTGGTACATCTAAATGTGCACCTAAAATGTAATAAAACGTGTTTTTCTTCCCCGTATGATGTTAATCTCACCTGCAGACAAGAAGACGGTTCTTAGATGGAGCATTGCTGCTTTCAGCCAAGCTTTAATAAATGGTCTTTTGATATATATTCATTATCACGTCTTGCTCAAACTTCAGTCTCACACACCTCCCTCCACCACGACAAAACCCTATACCTGATTCAGCCCTTTGCTGTGTGAGGTCACTGACTCCTGTCTCTTCCTCTTCTTCTTCTTGCTGAAAGCTCTGATATGCTCTTAATGGACTCCAGTCCATCAGAGAGCGGGAGACTGCGAGGCCAGTGGACACACAGGTGTGCAAAATATCACCGGAGGTAATTGACAAGCGCAGACGAGATGACCTGCAGAGAAAAGTGAAAGGGGTTAGCGCTCTATTTGAAGAGGGACTCATGGGGGTCAGTGCCGGTGAACTCTTCAGCTAATGGTGGATGGTTTTCAACATCATTCACAAAGTTATAACAGTTCCATTCATTCCTGACTGGTCAGTACAGCATTTCTGCTGTGCTAAAATATATGATAGTTGAGGAGCAAAAGTCTTTGTCAAAGTCTTTTCTTCCTCATTGTGACATATCAAAATAAAATCGCTTCTCAAACAAGAACAAATGTAGCTAGTAAACGGCAGTAAACACATCATCAGAGGAGAGATGTCGCTGCAAGAGGGAGGGGAAGTTATTTTGATTAAAGATTACAAGGGCACATGAATTAAAAAAAAAGAAAATGCACGGTAAATCATTTATAATAAATGCTGCAATATTCCATTAAAAATGTTTTGATATCATGGTGACTTTAACCTTAATTTACATGTCAGGGACGTCTGACTTAAAGGAACACTCCGACTTTTTGGGACTTTAGCCTATTCACCTTATCCCCCAGAGTTAGATAAGTCCATACATACCTTTTTCATCTCCGTGCGTGCTGTAACTCTATCTGACGCACCCACCGCTAGCCTAGCTTAGCACAAAGACTGGATGTAAATGGTTGCAGCTAGCATATTAATCCAAATAAGTGACAAAATAGCGCAAACATTTTCCTATTTACATGTTGTGATTTGTATAGTAACAGAGTGTACAAAAAACAAAGTCACATGAGACACAGACATATTTTGACCGTATAAATACTGGGAACTATATTCTCTGAAGGCGAAGCACTGCTACTTGGGCGGAGTGATAACCGCAGCACCTGAGACGCGCCGTACCCAAACTCTGAACGAACTCTCTGCTCCTCACCACGGCGCGTCTCAGGTGCTGCGGTTATCACTCCGCCCAAGTAGCAGTGCTTCGCCTTCAGAGAATATAGTCGCCGTCAGAGAATATAGTTCCCAGTATTTATACGGTTAAAATATGTCTGTGTCTCATGTGACTTTGTTTTTTGTACACTCTGTGACTATACAAATCACAACATGTAAATAGAAAAATGTTTGCGTTATTTTGTCACTTATTTGGATTAGTATGCTAGCTGCAACCATTTACATCCAGTCTTTGTGCTAAGCTAGGCTAGCGGTGGGTGCGTCAAACAGACTTATAGCACGCAAGGAGATGAAAAAGGTAGGCCTATGTATGGACTTTTCTAACTCTGGGGGATAAGGTGAATAGGCTAAAGTCCCAAAAAGTCGGAGTGTTCCTTTAAGAAAATAACATTTGAAAGTAAATTTGAAAAATAAAATTAGTAAAGCAATACGGTACAAGAAATGTAGATGTACCTGTAAGAACTAATTTTGTAGTCAAGTATTTATATTACAGTATTTGGTGCTAAATTTGCAAGATTACTCAAACAAATGTAAGCTTTTCTTCAAGCACATAGCTGAACATATGGCCTAAATAAATACCTAAATAAATCAAAATAAATCAGCCTATTCAAAACCACTACATGCATAATGGTCTTATGGTCATAAATATGCTGGTTGACTTTATAGGTCAAAGAATTGAAGGTTTGATGACATCAATCATCGGTAATCTGGATTTTGTACTAAAATATTAATATTCGGTAACACTTTATTTTAATGTGTCCTTGTTACACGTTACATGTACTATAGCAATAACTATAAATTAGGCATAATCACATGCAACTAACCCTAAACCAACCCTAATCCTACCCTAACCCAATAGTAAATACATGTAGTTAATTAATATTACTCAGTCCTTAAATGTATTTACACTCTAACAGGGACACATTAAAATAAAGTGTAACTGAAAATTCAAACGTGCAGCCCTACCTCTCCATTCATGCATACTCATAAGAATAATACTCTTTTATGAACTGGATTGTTTCTAAAAATAAGCCTTAAATCTCTATCCATGACAAATTTCTCTTGGGGAGTATGGGCATACAGTGCTCATATGAGGTCATATTTGTCTTGTGTGGGGAAAAATCACTGTACAGATGGCACTGAAAGCTAACTAAACCAATTTATACGATTGAATTTAATAATTTCTGGGGGCACCATTAATGTGGCTTAATTATCTTGCTTATCTTGCTTGCTTGTTCTTCTTTCCAGGCCTAGTTTTGCCTGTGGTCTTCCAGCCTGAACAACTGAGCGACAGATGCCCACAAACCCTCTAAAACCATCAGACCAGCAAAACATCTTAGGCTTGTTTATATTTGTTTTGTTAGTAAGGTAATGGTGAGAGTTTCAAGTAGGGTAAACATATTATGTTCATGTTGTCCAGTCAACCAATTTGGTCACATTAAGATATGTATCTCTGTCTCTTGGCTCTTGGAGTCGTGAGGCAAGGGTCAGACTCAGCACACGAAGAATGTTTTCTCTTCCTCTTTTCATCTCTTATCAGGAGCTAGAGAGGATATCTCGAGACGTGATCAGAAAAAAAGGAACACGTGATCTCTTTGGCGCGCACGGATAGTTATAGGCTAGATGAGTGTAGTTAGGGGGTTATAATATAGCCACAGTAGGGGGTTTGAGGGCCAGGACGACCTTTTTACCCTGCTAGTCATGGTGATTGTATAAATCTGATTATTTAAGACCATTTCTGACCAAATTTAAAGTGACGTCTCCGTTCACTTTGCCTATAGTCTCCTTTAACCTTGAAACGGTTAATGACTAAAAAAAAGACTCCAACATAATAGTCTGCAATGACATTCTCTTTTTCCTCTTGGAAGATGTAATGCATGTCATACAAAAGCTTATGTTTGAAGTGTTTTTGTGAAAGTTACAGCTACCTTCGAGCAGCCTTGACGTTTTTTTCTCCACGCGCGTTCCCTTCAGCACGGATCTGCGCGCGCTCCCAGTGCAAGCGGCGGCGTCCTTATAGGCTACTACCTTGAGAAAAAGGATGGGAAAACCGTACAAAACCAGTTTCCAGGTCAACGCGAGGTTAGACCCGCTGAAGGCGACCCTCGTTACGCTCTTGAACGCGCTCGCTTTGAATCCCGCCACCACCTGCATACAAAACTGATGCGCGTGTTTGGAGCTCGTGAGGAAAATGCTGACGCGTTTGATCGTTTCGTCAGCGGTTTGACGTGAAGACTGCTGAGGGATATTTATTACTCTTAAGGACTTTTTATGGACGCAAATATTTCGTTTTCGCGGAAACACTTTCTTGGGAGAAGGACCTGAATTTGGAATTTTTGTGTATATTTTCTATATTATGAGAAACGTCGTGTAGCCTATAGGTTACGACATTAGCTTGCTGAGGTATATTTATAACTCTTAACGACTTTTTATGGACGCGATATCATCGCAAAGATGTTGTTATTTTGGAAAACAGAATGTTTGAAAATGTTTCGAATAGTTAATATAATCCCAGACATGTTTTATTAGTTATCCTCAAATCTCGTATACTGCACCATTGTCCATTTACTAAATAATATTTGCTTGCATGTTGTCTCATTAAACGAGGAAACCAGAATTCTTTCCACAGCAAACAAACTCGAATGATCATCGCAAACATCCTGTGTGAAACTATTTCTCTGAGAACGTCCTTGCATTTGGAAACGTTTTGAATATTATGAGTTATATTAATTTGAACGACGTGTTTGACGTATTACAGGATATGTAGCCTATATTGCTCCTTGCGACTTTATGTGGAGTGGACGCGAACGATCGTCTTATACGTGGAAATTCTTTAAAATTGGGGATGTTCTGAATAGAAAACGGCGCACTAATTATTTATAGTCAAAGCTCTTACTGCAGCATTTTCAGTTACAGAACATGTATCTCATTTAACAAGCGAATGCCTTGTTTATGAGGAAATAACGCAACTGAATTTGGGAATGTTCTTGAAATTCTTATTTATTTACCAATCATTTTAAGCGTTCGGTCCAAATTTCTCTCTTATTAAATCAGGAAAATCCATGTTGCACTGATGCATGAGGAAACTGATATCCTCATTTGGATAAACTGAACGTTACGAGACTTCAGCAAGAGTTTGGCGCAACTATCCAACGGTGATGCCGGAGGTCACTTCCACCAGAAGTGATAAGCTAACATCCAAAGGCATTATGTTTTTATGCAACACCACAGCCATCAAGGACTGGAGTTATTTTCTCTCTCAGATCTTGCCTCTTGTGAATAAATCAGCGGGATTTGTTCAGGATCGGGTGGAGGCTGTTACGAGCACCATGGTGACGGCTCTGGAGCCCGATCTGACCGGGATGAGCGCTAGTCACCCGCCGCTCAACTCCAATCACACGTCCGGGACGGAGCACGTCTTTCAGTACTCGTACTCCGAGAGTGACCTGCAGTACACGGACTACAGGACGCCGCCAAGGGACTCGATACCGCTGCCCAAGGCGGTGCTGTACCTGGTCATGGCCGCGCTGGTGGTGGTGGCCGTGGCGTACGCGATCGTGGGGCACCTGGTGAAGGATCTCGTGCATGAGTGTTTGGGTAAGTTCATTCTGGAAATGCATACTGTGTGATCAACTAAACAACACTCTGACGAAACACTGTGCAAGTATTTGTGTGTTTTGGATATGCATTCATATCAGAAAGATTCAACACTGAAATACAAAAATGCAACTCTGTCTGCACCTGTTTGGTTCATTGCACTGCTGCTAAAAAAAATAACACAAGCCTAAGGTCTCAAGTTGGTTTCCCAGCCTAAACCAGCAAAAGTAGGGCTTGGCAAAAAAAAGAAAGAAAAAAAAATGTGGTCGATTCAAAATCGATTCTCAAAGGCCACGAATCGATTTTTTCCCCACATTTATTTATTTATCACCCAAAAGCCCGTATTAGTTTTCACTGTTCACAGGCTTCCAGCCTCCATGCTAATGCTGAGATTTTATGTTTATTTTATATTAAACAAAAAATAACCTGATCCTGTTTGATTAAGACATGCAACTGTTCTGATTTGCCCAATTTTCAGCATCAAATTTTCATCTTGCATCACAATCCTGTCTATTCATTGTATGCATTGGAAAAATAGAGTTGGGTTCTGTTTTAATGTACCCAAGTGTACCTAAAATAAAAAGAGTTTAAAGGAGCTGTATGTAAGATTGTGGCCAAAACTGGTACTGCAATCACTTTCAAATTACTGTAGAGCGGTGTATCCCCTCCCCCTCCTCCCTGACTCAAGGTTGCCAGATAGGCTGCAGGATCCCGCAGGAACGTGACGAGCTGCAGCTGTGGTAACTAGAGCAGAGCTGGCAACCCGGATGCTGCAACACTACTGACTTCGTGATTGGTAGATAGGTGGAGGGTGGAGCATCAGACCAAAACACAACATGACAACATCAACATCAGTTGAGGGCTGCAACTGCACTTTTTAAATGACAATATGCTGGCCGGACAACTGTTGTCAGTGATATAAGTATTTGAAATGTACATGATTTCTTAATGTCTAGTGACATATCAGGGCCATTTTATGATTAATTGAAATAAATTTCTTACATACAGCTCCTTTAATATACAGGTTTGTGGCTCTTAATTTCTTTTTATGAATTAACCACTTGTAAACTTATGTTCATTGTTCTTTTTTGTATTCAATTTATTCATTGAGTCAAATCGAGAATCGAGATTCGGGAATCGAGAATCGAAATCGAGAATCGAAATCGAATCGAATTGAGAGCTTGTGAATCGAAATCGAATCGAATTGGAACATTGAATCGATCCCTAAGAAAAAGTGCCTATCGAGCTAATATACAGCCTACAGGTTTGCTGATCTTCCCATCAGGTTATGAAAACGTTATTTCTTAATGTTTGCTGAACGTTCGAAACGTGTTTAATGTTTTAAAAACGTTTTATATAGTACTATAGCCTAGTCATTTTCATAATATCATATGAAACAGTGCTTTGAGGGTTTTGTGAGCTTTTGGTGTGTTTAGGCATTCATATTCAAAAGGGGTTATGATAAGTTTTGCTGAAGTGTGTTTTTTGGGGGATGCTCCATTATGTTTGATATTTACGCATATACCTGAGTGCTAATAGACTCACGATATTTTATTTTTTTTGCAAGGTCCTTGATGGTGCATACTGTCTGCATCAGTTCTTACATTACAGAGTCTCAATGCCAAAATGCACCTCTGTTGTACTTTCACACATTTACATTCACCTCCACAAACATCTCGGCTGATTCCTGAAAGCTCAGAATTGAGTATCCGGAAGGGAGTGAAAAGGAATTACAGTCCCTCTCTTCTGTTTTTCAAAGACCTTGACGTTTACCTGAAGCGATGAAGCAGGCGAGTTTCGAAACACACACACACACACACACACACACAAAAGAAGCAGAGAGGGGACATGAGCACTCAACAATACCTAAGAGATTTCCCCAAAAGCACTGGTTACAGCGAGCTCTGATCCTGCATGTGCTGTAGATGTGCTCGATGTGTCGATCCTGGAGGTGTAAATGTGAAGATTGTCAGTTTGGCGAGATTCTCACTGTAGTATTTCTCTCTCCAGGGTCAGACAGATGTAGGGAGCTCTCTTTTTCTATCCTATAGTAATGCACACTTAGTTTGCATTTTGTCTGCTTGTTTATTGTGATATGGCAAGCCTCATTATTATTGCTGATTCTTATGGTTTGGGTTTTCTTTAAAAAAAATAGTGCTATTACTTTTCGAAGGGACAGGAGTTGCCTTTTTTTTTCTTTTTGGTGGTGGTGGTGGTGGTGGACAATAAAGCGTCTGGCAAAAAAAGCTGGCGATCCACCATGAACACCCGTATCGTCCAGAACTCCCTAGAATAGTGGCATTGACTTTTGCAGGCATGGCAAGCACCACTTATATTTACTTTAACCCTGGAGAACCCAAGAACCCTTTTCTTCTATGGAAAATTATGAACTGTGCATTAAATTACTGCTATAAGTTCACTGAACACCAAAATATCCACTTTTTCAATTTTAACCCTTTATTCCCTAATTTAGGATTAGGGCCAAATTTGACCCATTGGGCTTTCGGCGTATCATTTCAAAGAATCACAATAACAAACACTGTCAATGCAAACTATTTTTAAATTTAGGAAAATAATCAGTCAACCACAAAGCTACATTTAACAATGTTTTTTTTTTTTTTTTGCTTTATTTGTTGCATGTTAGAACTGGATTTCAAATGTACAAACACGTTGGCCAATGGAAACAAGAACACAAGGCCAAAATCACGACTGAAAAAAAAAACTAACACCATGGGTCTTTGCTTATCCAAAAATCTGTTCTGCTAGAGAGAGGAACTCACACTAGACATTGTGGTAGTCTTTAAAACAATTTCTTTTTTTGTTGATGCTGAGAGGAACATTTTTCACAGTGCATTTCAGTTTTGAGGTCCATACTCCCTGAAAAGATATACTGCTTTATAAGTGTCTGGCCCTGTACTACTGAGGTAACTTAGTAAATTATATTATACAAATGAAATTATTTCAAGGCTTTAGCCAAATACAGGACTGTCACCATTCTCCATCAAAGTCACTCAAAGAACCAAAGGGTCATTTTTGACCCGACATTTGTTTAACCCATACACCCAGAGGGTCATATTTGGCCCATCGTTTTTTTAACTATAGCTCAGAGTCGCTAATTTATCCAAAAAGAATATAAAACGTATACTTCTAGGCATTCTGCAAGCTAATACTAAATAGATTAACAAAAAATACACAATTTTACCAACCGCTGGTTTGCTGAGAAGACTATTTTGTTTGGATAGGTTTCCAGCTCAACAAAACAGCATGTGGTGAGCCATCTTGTTACTACCACTCTGGCACTTGTGAGTTCAATATTCATCCACTAGGTGTCTCTATGCAGGGGTCAGAAGTGGCACTCTGGGCTTTTGAAGTTAAATTTGACAAATTTTTTTTTTTTTTTTTTTTTTTTGGGTAGCAGCAATTAACAGCGGCCAAATTTGACCCCGTGGGTTCTCCAAAGAAGATTAAAATAAAAATAAAAAATTACACAACCTGTCAGTGCAAAACATCAGTGCAACACCACTATGTACAAAAAATCAGGCATGCAGAATGTATAGAAGAGCCCGTTCTCTTGCAGCATGTGTTCTTTCTCCGGAATTATAAAAATCACTTTTATTGCCCTGATTATTTTGCCATGCTTATTTTCCCTCTCCCTCTTTCACTGAAGCAGTTCAGCCTAATTGGCATAAATGTGTATGTGGGAAGTTTTCATGCCATCACATGTCTCTGCTTATCAGCCACTTTTGTTTACTCGCACCCTTCAGTCTGACTCTGCTGTGTTATCTGCTCATCTTAATTCCAGGATGCTTTCTGAGTCAAAGGCGAATGCGTTTAGCGCTGCCAGGCTGGTGGCTTCTGTCATGGATCTGAACTAAGTGTGCAGTTTGATGGAGCATTTAGACCGGATGAGTTATTTAAATCATTAGTCAAGCAGTGTAGTACTTTAATTACCAATAGGTGAACTGCAAGGTATTTAATTAATGCAGTCAGACATCAGCCTGGGGCTCATATATATAGTGTGTATTGCATTACAGAAAGAAGCTGTTGTTGCTTCCTAACTGGAATATCAATTTTGTTTTCATGAATTGTGAAATATGACCCGGACATGTTCTTGTTTTTTTGTGAGGTTCTCAGTTTCTTTTTCATAAAGAAGCCTGCACGTCTTTGACGTTTTCCATCATGCTTTTCATTCAATTATAGAAATCAGACCTGTTAATCAAGTCATGGGCTATTTTTTACCTAGTTTATGTCCTTGATTAATAACGTGTGTAAAGTTTGTATAATGTGTCTGTGAAAGTGTGCTTGCCTCTTTTGTTGTTCGACAAAATGTACATTAATGTCATAATGGCTTGTGCAGTGAATATGAATATCTCTGTCTGTACAGCATGCATATCATGCTTTAACATCTCACTTCTGCCGCCAGAGGCTGTTTACTGCTTCTCTATGTCTTGTGCTTTCTGTCACAGTTGTCTGGCTGAATCTGGCTCCAGACCATTTTCAAATAGTTTCACATTGTTTTGTCAAAATGGACTCAATAGATAAATTCAGACTTCATGAAAGTTTTCTGTGTATTATGAGTTGTGTAGAATCAGAACTCTGAATTATGAAAGTTCCATTTAAAGTATAAATTTGTTCTGACAAAAATACTGTTTTTTCCCTATTCTGGAGAGAAGTTATTCTATTTGTCTAGCCATTAAACTACGAATCAGTGACAGAATAAAGGCCTATTCAAAGCACGTTTTTGGCATGAAAATGCCCAACTTCATAATGGCCATTTCAAAACAAAGTACTCTATGGACACTTTATTCTCTTTATCCACCATGTACGAGCCTTTTATGTGCAAATACATAAAACATTGTAGAAATAATCAATGAAATGTGTGTGTGTGTGTGTGTGTGTGTGTGTGTGTGTGTGTGTGTGTGTGTGTGTGTGTGTGTGTGTGTGTGTGTGTGTGTGTGTGTGTGTGTGTGTGTGTGTGTGTGTGTGTTGGGATGCAAGGTCACTTTTTAAAATTGTTCAAAATGTGACCAATTTAAATCAAATATTCAAAAAAACAATTTTTCTTTAAAAAAAAATTTGGAAAACCGAAGAAATGTTTGCCACCCTAACATTTAAAAAAAAAAAAAACGGAATAATAACATTTAGTTTAAAATTTTGGCACAAATTCTTTGTGCCAAACATGCTGACTGAATAAGACTTGAATAAAAAGGTATAAAAAATTAAGCATTTATTGTCACTGTCCTGACAATCCTCACTCCTTCATATTTGTATTTGCATGTGTATGACTTTTAACCTTAGTCTTTGTCCCCAAGGTCCTTTGTTGTCTAAAACAACATTTACGTAATCAGATTACTTTTCAAGTAACTTACATTACTTTTACATTTAGACCAAAATATCTGAGTTACTTTTTCAAATAAGTTACATAAGTTGAGAAATTGTGAGTAAGTTCAGAGGCGTTGTGTGTGTGAACATGATGGTTTTTGTAGTTCTAGACTAATGTGAACAACATGCATTTACTCATCTCACTTGTACAAAAACAGTTTTCCTCATAAACATAAGTGAAATACAAACTCAGAATATTACACAAACCTAAACTAATTAAATATGTGAAAATGAAATAGCACAAATATACTTTATGTATTTAATCTCACTTTATTAACCAATGTCTTGCTTGCTGCTGACCTCCGATAATCCAATGAAACTAATAAGCAAAAATTAATGACTTCAGATAAACATCACATTTGTGTTTCTTTTTTCTTTTCTTTTTTTTGCTGAAGTAAGAGTGTTGGGCTGTGTCCGAATTTGCCTCCCATACCCGTAAATAGGGCACTATTTGAGGGGACGGCCATTTGTATACAACTATAGTGTTGTCCAAAACCATACGTTATTCAATCCCACAATGCATTACAATAACGTCTGTACAACCGATGTACGCTCAAAGGTTAGAGAATACCCATAATGCACTGTGAGGCTCGTGCGGAATGAATTTCCGCGTTTCCCCAGAAGATGGCGCCCGCTGCTGAATCATCCATACATTCATTTTCCAAACAGCTGGTCCAATGTGGGTACAGTGTAATATCTAACGCATTCTCATCCTATATTTTGACATTTCGTCTACATCCAACGCACATGGCACCCTATAGTGTCAATATGAGACGCAGATAGATATGGGTAGGTTTAGGTCTGGGGTAGGGTTAGGGTTAGACCACTAGGCGGCGCCTTCTGGCCCATATCTATCTGCGTCTCATATTGACGCTAAAGGGTGCCATGTGCGTTGGATGTAGACGAAATGTCAAAAGCGTCAGTATATGACGCCTTGGGATGAGAACGGGCTGTAATATCATAAGGTATAAATTCCTATTTAATTGATTATAAAAAAAAAGAGGGTTTTTTACATGCTAGTTTCCTAAGCACAAACAATGCAAACATTCACTCACTTGTTCTCATTCACTCCCAGAAGTGGAGTAATGTTAGGAATAATGAATGAGGATAGGGGGCGGTTTCGAACACAGCATTGAACTTTCTTCTCCTGCGTCCTGTTCTTCTGTGATCTAGAACAGCAGCACAGCTGAAAAGTTTGTATTTTGTACTCTACTGTATTTTTTTTTTTTTTTCGAACAACAAAAAAGATACAAATAAATTAAATATAAAAATACAATAAGTATGTTGTAACATACCGAAAGAAAAAAAAACAATATCTGTAAAGTATTACAACAATAATTACAATATGTTCGAAAAGGCGTGGGATGAAGCAGAAGCTTCTGTACTGTACACTGAATTTGCATTAGCTTGAGCCTATAAGGCTTATTCATTGCAATTTTGGTGTGAAAGGGCCTTTACATTTGCAAGGACCCATCCAGTTGATAATCACTATATATATTCTACAAATGTGAACATATTTTTGGCATAGAATTAGGTTTTCTTAATTTATACTAAAAAATTGCAACATATAAAATATTATTTAATGTTGCTGCACTCTGTGATATATACAGCCGTTTTACATCAGTGATGTTACTGTATGTCTTTTAGCCTGACTGGAATGATTTATTGGCCAGTCAGAATCCAGGACAGTAACCATTTAACCATTAAATTTAAGATGTGTATTTGAATTGCAAATAAAATGTCAATTATTCTGGATGGAAACACAAGCAAACTATAATAATCTTAATGTGATGCATATCTGTCAGGCATATTTGATTTTATTTAAATAATTTCTAAATTAATTTATTTAAATAGCTTAGAATCAGCATTTATCTGTTCATTGTGAAAACAATTACATTTATTTAGTTAAAAAGCAAACTTGGATTAAGTATGGCTTGCTATGAAACAAGCAATACACAGGTCAAATGTATGAAAATGTAACGGATTGGATTGATTGATGAAAAATATACACTCACCTGAGATTATTAGGAACACCATACTAATACTGTATTTGACCCCCTTTCGCCCTTCAGAACTGCCTTAATTCTACGTGGCATTGATTCAACAAGGTGCTGAAAGCATTCTTTAGAAATGTTGGCCTATATTGGTCTAAAAATATGTTTAAAAAATGTTTAAAAAATATGTTGGCCTAAAAATATGTTCACAAACATGTTCACCGGTGCTGGTTGAGGAGAGAACCCCTGATATGATTGTAAAGCGCTTTGGGTGTACAGAAGTACATATGAAAGCGCTATATAAATGCCTCATTCATTCATTCATTCATTCATTGATAGGACAGCATCTTGCAGTTGATGGAGATTTGTGGTATGCACATCCAGGGCACGAAGCTCCCGTTCCACCACATCCCAAAGATGCTCTATTGGGTTGAGATCTGGTGACTGTGGGGGCCATTTTAGTACAGTGAACTCATTGTCATGTTCAAGAAACCAATTTGAAATGATTCGAGCTTTGTGACATGGTGCATTATCCTGCTGGAAGTAGCCATCAGAGGATGGGTACATGGTGGCCATAAAGGGATGGACATGGTCAGAAACAATGCTCAGGTAGGCCGTGGCATTTAAACGATGCCCAATTGGCACTAAGGGGCCTAAAGTGTGCCAAGAAAACATCCCCCACACCATTACACCACCACCACCAGCCTGCACAGTGGTAACAAGGCATGATGGATCCATGTTCTCATTCTGTTTACGCTAAATTCTGACACTACCATCTGAATGTCTCAACAGAAATCGAGACTCATCAGACCAGGCAACATTTTTCCAGTCTTCAACTGTCCAATTTTGGTGAGCTCTTGCAAATTGTAGCCTCTTTTTCCAATTTGTAGTGGAGATGAGTGGTACCCGGTGGGGTCTTCTGCTGTTGTAGCCCATCCGCCTCAAGGTTGTGCGTGTTGTGGCTTCACAAATGCTTTGCTGCATACCTCGGTTGTAACGAGTGGTTATTTCAGTCAAAGTTGCTCTTCTATCAGCTTGAATCAGTCGGCCCATTCTCCTCTGACCTCTAGCATCAACAAGGCATTTTCGCCCACAGGACTGCCGCATACTGGATGTTTTCCCCTTTTCACACCATTCTTTGTAAACCCTAGAAATGGTTGTGCGTGAAAATCCCAGTAACTGAGCAGATTGTGAAATACTCAGACCGGCCCGTCTGGCACCAACAACCATGCCACGCTCAAAATTGCTTAAATCACCTTTCTTTCCCATTCTGACATTCAGTTTGGAGTTCAGAAGATTGTCTTGACCAGGACCACACCCCTAAATGCATTGAAGCAACTGCCATGTGATTGGTTGATTAGATAATTGCATTAATGAGAAATTGAACAGGTGTTCCCAATAATCCTTTAGGTGAACCCGGTCATTGTGTATTTGAAACACTTTCAGTTTATTAGTACTATTGCAGAAGTTTCGTTTTATGTCTGACTGACAAATATGCATCACATTAACTCCTTTATTAGTTTATATTAAAACTGTGTAATCCAAGTGGATGGAAACTTGATGTGCATTATTATGTATCCAGATACTTAAATCTTAAATGTACGATTAAATATTTGTTGAGTGTCTGTCAAACACTATAAAGGTTCCAAAACTGTGTTTTTGCTGTGATTCCATGTATAAGAACCTTTTTTTTTGGTTCCGCAAAGAACATTTCAATGAACAGTTCTTAGTTTTAAGAACATTTGAAGAACCTGAAGAACCTTTTTCCTCTGTTAAGATCATTTTGTGGAATGGAAAGGTTCTGTGGATGTTAAAGGTTGTTCGTGGAGTAAAGTACCTTTATTTTTAAGAGTGATAATGTCCTCTCGTGCAGTGGATCCGTTGACTGATAATCATCTGTAATCTGTGTGTCTCATCAGAGTGGGTGTTTGGGCCTCGTTCAGACGACCGCAGGAGCAAGAGCGAGGTGAACTGCATCAGCAGCAGCGTGAATGAAATGAGCGAACTCTCTCGTCCGGTGGACATCGTGTACAATCACTCCGACTCCCCGAACACCATCAAACCGGAAGAGCTGGTGGTCACCATCGACGAGACCTCGCAGCTCCCTCGCGAAGCTTACAGTGGAACCTAACTGAGAAAAACAACCACGCTTTGATCCAGCCCTTTATTACGAGGAAGAAAAGCATGTTTGCTTCAGTTTGATCGGCATCCGTGAGCCGCTGCAGTGAAGTCAAACGACCTTTGGTGGTCATGATCAGGAAAACTGAGGAAGATGGGAGACTTTAGTATGGAATCACAATACATTACATGTTCTTTATCGGAGTGCTGTGAGACACTAACTATTCTCAAACTGAATTTGAACTCGAGAAAGAGGAGAGACTCTTCTTTATCATTCAGATCAGTCTTATTTTTCTTGTTTTGTGGAGACATGCACTGTGAATCTAGAATAGTCTTCTGCTGTTATCCATTTCCGACTCTACCCACAACCCACTTTGGTTTGATTTTCCCACTTTTCGCAGATATTTATGGCTGAGTACTTTGGGCTGCGTTTAAGTATTTGCGAATACACATTTTACTCACTTTCAGGTTTTCTATAATTGATTATGCTGCTTAGAAACAGAAATACTTAGAGATCTGCTCACGACGGGTTGATGGTTTAGATTCAGCCCTTGATGAGAAAACAAAAGATCACAAATGGCGAAACAATACTGCAGATGAATTTTATTTTCATCTTGCAGTGTTACCAAAAATGTGTGTTTTATAATGGAGGGAGACATTATACACTTCTCACTGAAAATATATATGTAAATGAAAGAAAACAGCAGTTAAATACACTTATAAATGGTTTTATACATTGACAGATGATCTAAAAAAGATTAATATCTCTGTTTACTTCACAACTAAGGGCTATAATTTCAGATCATCTCAACGAAGCTTTAGATCTGAGCATCACATTTTTAAACAGATTTTCAAAGTCAAAAAAGGGGATAATTGTTTCAAACTGGCAAAAGAAAAAAATAATTATCATTAAAAAATAAGATTGAGTCCACTTCTGCTGTTCCCTCTTTCATACATTTTCAGTAAAGGTGAAAAGAATAACTCTAGGCAATTTTCCTGGTTATCACATCAACTTGTTTTCACCTTTGCTGCCAAATTGTAATTGTTTTCTCATGTATATATATATATATATAAAAAAAATGCAAAGATTGTTCTGTGATCCATGTGTCTAGTCATGCCATGTAACAATAATCGGAATACGTTACGAAAGTATAGAAAAACACAAAATATGTTTTTCCTGTTTCTCATGTCATGTCTATTTACACAAATGTCACAAAAGTCACCTTAATAAATGTGTGGCATTATGTCAAATTTATCTAAAACAAAGCCTGACACATTTTTTTTTAAATTGTCATTAAAAATATATAAAAAAGTTATTAATGGATCCCTTTTCAGTGATCCAATGCTAGCAGGTAAAAAACAAATAAGTCTTTAGCACAGAACATGCCAAGGTTATTCTATTTTACATATATTTATTATTATTGTCAAAAAAAATGATATTTTAGTATAATATTATAAATGTTAAATCCTTTTAAGAAATATATTGTTTTTTGAAAATAAATTGTATACAAGGAACGATCTAACCCTAACCCAAATGCTTGAAGAAAAAAACAACAACATTAATAACATATATCGTCATTGTCATAACATAATACAGCAATACTCCAGAATCCTTCACTCTTTCAATCCAGATTAAGTTCCTTCACTCTTTCGGTCCAGATTAAGTGCCAAGTCCTTAAACACAGCCACTGTTATTATAGCTTTTAAGTTTTTAGATAACTCAATAGATTCAAAATACATTTTCATTTCAAGTTTAAATCTTAAAAATATGAGGATTGCATTTAGAAAATGTACATTTGATAATGTGATATTTAGATAACAGAAAAATAATGTTTATAAAATACATATCACTATTCTTTTCACATTCATGAAAACCAAAAATGACTTTTCTATATACATAGAGAATTTGATTTTATTCTGAATTTGTGCGCTGTGACGTTAAAAAGTAGGCGGGCCGTAGGCGGACGCGCCGTGTCGTCATCACAAAAACAACATTCTGCACTCCTCAAGTTTCTTCCTTTCTTCCTTGCAGACCGACGCCTACATTTTATATAATTCCACGAGCATCCATTGTTTGATAAATTAACATCATTCTCGTAAGTACAGATATCCTTACCAAGATTTACCTAGTTTTGTGTTTGTGCAGTAAACTCAGGCGGGTTTGAAAGTCCAACTTTCACGTTGTCTTGTTTTTTTTTATGATAATTGTCTTACCATGAAGAAACTGACAGCGATTTATGTGTTTTTCTTTTTCTGCTTTCTACGGTGGCCGAGACAGCTCAACGCGCTGCAACTGAAGCAAACACATGCAAATAGAGAAAAACGTGTGCAAATAGAAAAAAACGCATGCAAATAGAAAAACACGCATGCAAATAGAAAAACACGCATGCAAATAGAAAAACACGCATGCAAATAGAAAAACACCATGCAAATAGAAAAAAAACACCAGCAAATAAAAAAAAACATCTTCATCAGTTTCACAACACACGTGTGCTCCAAATAAGGAAACGCGCTGCAAAAGTTCACAACACAACCAAATACAGAAAACGCGCTGCAAATAACACAGACCACAACGGAAATGTTTCCAGGGGAACCAAATAAGTGACGAACCCGGCTGAGACGTGCTTATTGCTCGTGAGCTTCCCTATGCCATACTCCCTTCGAAGGGCAGATCGCAGTGTGGAGTGAGCAGGGCTCTAGTGTGCTGTTAGGCAGCCGTGTGGAACGCACTTGATGAAGGGAGCAACTAAAGACAACGTGGGATGTTCCCATGACAACGCAGCACGGTGTCCATCAGCTGGTCTTACGACAGAAATATGATGCTGTTAACATAACGGATGCAAATACATTTTTATTTTTAGTTTACAAAAAGCTTTTAAAATATGCGTTATATATCTGTGTCTCAACTTTAAAATTTTGGACCCTACATTACCTAACATTTCTTACGAAACTTTTCTTTATGAAACTGTAATAACATGAAACAGTTTGTACAGTGTAACTGATGTATAGATAAATATCTTTCCTTCATGTTTTTCTTCTTTATCTTTTTTATTTATTTATTTTAGTTTCCAGCTCATTGTTCTTTTCTCATTTGTATTCTGATGACATTGAACATATTGTTAATACATTTTGTACATTGTATACAAGTTGTATGTCATAAAAAATGTAATCTCTATGTTTTGCACAAATAAATAAATAAACAAATAAACAAATAAATAAAGTATAATTTTAAGCTGTAAGCACCAGCACGCATAGATTTATGGATATCTATCTATGCCAGCACTTCCCAGCCGGGTTCGTCACTTATTTGGTTCCCCTGGAAACATTTCCGTTGTGCTCTGTGTTATTTGCAGCGCGTTTCTGTATTTGGGGGTGTTGTGAGTATTTGGAGCACACGTGTGTTGTGAAACTGATGAAGATGTTTTCTTAATTTGCAGGTGTTTTTTTTTATTTGCACGCGTTTTTTTCTATTTGCATGCGTTTTTTTCTATTTGCATGCGTTTTATTTTATTTGCATGTGTTTTTTTTCTATTTGCACGCGTTGTTTTCTATTTGCATGTTTTCTTCTATTTGCATGCGTTTTCTTCAGTTGCAGCGCGTTGAGCTCTCTCGGCCACCGTAGGCTTTCTTTGCGCGGGAGGCAAAATCACATAGGCCTACTTGAAATAATATTGAAATAAAGTCATTAATAGGCCTAAATAATATAATTATTATTATTTAATAATATATAGGCCTAGGTCCTAGCTTATATAATAACTTTGAATAATAAATAGTATAAAAACTCGGACGCATCATTTTATATGAAGCTGCATGTAGTTGTAAAAGAAATGGCAAATTAAATTTAAATTGGTGCCAAATTCTATTTTGTTGTAGAAATATTTTATAACTTATCAAATATAAAGTATACAATTACATCAAGGTAGACCATAACATTTTAATGTGGTCTTTCATAATTTCATGAATTAAGCGCATTAGTCTGGTCAGATTTAGTTATTTGATGAATTCATGTTAAGTTACTTCTGTTTTCTATTTATGAATTGAACTCGTTTTTATTTATATATTTATTTAAAGTATTATTAAAATCTAGCTGGTGTAATGTCTAGGAATTGTAAAATAGCAACGAAAAATTACTTGTTGGTTTGCAAAACAATGTTTTGTCTGTTTTACCTTGAAATTGTTTTGTTTTTTTACTTCTACGAAAATCACTTATTCAATAACTTATATAATAACTTACTTATAGCCTAACCTTTAATAACTTAACTAAACTTATAACTTACGAAAATAATGATCAAGTTTAAAGGAGCTGTATGTAAGAAATGTATTTCAATTAATCATAAAATGGCCCTGATGTGTCTCTAGACATTAAGAAATCATGTTCATTTCAAATACTTATATCACTGACAACAGTAGTACGGCCACGATATTGTCATTTAAAAAGTGAAGTTGCAGCCCTCAACTGATGTTGATGTTGTCATCTTGTGTTTTGGCCTGAAGCCCCACCCTCCACCTATCTACCAATCACGAAGTCAGTAGTGTTTCGGCATCCGGGTTGCCAGCTCTGCTCTAGTTGAAAGCTCCTTGTAGCAGCCTACGTTCCTGCTGGATCCTGCAGCCGATCTGGCAACCTCGAGTCATGGGGGAGGGGGAGGGGATGCACCGCTCTACAGTCATTTGAAAGTGATTGCAGTACCAGTTTTGGCCACAATCTTACATACAGCTCCTTTAAGTAAAAGTAAAAAGTAAAAGTATACTTTTTACTTGATGGTTGTCATGAACACTCGGTTGGTTGTTTGATCTGCCATTGAGAACAGCCAATTATCTCCCCTCACTTATTACAATTAATGAAGTGGGTTTTAGCGCAATGATGAAATGTTACCACAGTTCCATAAGCCTTAAATGGGATCAAGCGAAGGGCAAGTGGAAAAGCGATCGTAATTATCCCATATTAACATTTAAGATGTTTGTGTTTCTGACCCAACAGCCATCCTGCTTGTACTTGTTAATTCAGGTTTATTCAGTTAGGAAGCAGTTGTTAAATGTCTTTCTTACATCGAGTTGAAAGAGTCTTGAAGGGACTTTTTCTGTAAAAAAAAAAAAATCCGCCTGCTAACAATAAAACAATAATAACAGTAAGCATCAGTGGGAAACTAGGCCACTTCACACATATCAGGTGCAACAGACTTAAACATTCATAACTGACAACAGTGTGTTTACAAGGTCAAGAGTGTAAAATAACATCTTGTGTGAATTGAGTTCCTGTATGATAATTAGGAGGATTTTCTCTCTGACATACTCTATGTCCTAGTTCTCCATGCAGTGGTTGAAAGTTCAGGACTATTAGTCAGACATTCACTAATTATTCAGATGTGAGATAAAACATGCTCCACAAATTTACTTTGTTTGGAAAATGGCAGCATTTCCACTTTGAAATTAATTCAAGATTGATTCTTTACACTATAGCTTACCATTAGCTTATAGCTTGCCGTTCTTTTCAGCATATGCTTCATTCTTTTTCCTCCAGACAGAATCCCAAAACTTCTTGTTCTGATCTGCGCTCTGATCTTTTTGTATCCTGTTCCTTTATTTTGTGAAGGGCGATGATATCCTCTCTTAACTTGTTGGTCCATTCTTTTGACTTAGCCATATTTCTAACATGCAGTCAACAAACCTGAACACAACCAACCTAGCCAGCTCAGATATTTCATGTGTTCTAGCTCAAGCACACCTGGTGCAACTAATGAAGCCCTTAATTAGTTGCATCAGCTGTGCTTGAGACAAATTTAATATTTTCAGTTGAATTTGGGGAAACCAGTTGAAAACATTTGTTGTGCTGAGTTTCAATTACTTTAGTTTGATTGCAAACAGCTGAAAGTCTGCACATTTTGTCAACAAATCTGATTTACAATGGGGGTGAATAATAATGAATAATTTCGATTACAACTGTAGTTAGTAGTGTGTTGAAACTCGTGGTTATGGTAAGGGACAGGACTCTTCCCAAACACACTCAAAGCACTTGGCCAATCACGACACACTGGTCCAGCCGTCCAATCAGAGCTCATTGCGCTTTTCAGAAGGAAGGGCTTCATAGAGACAGGGACTAAACAAAGCATTACTGACAGACTGGGAAGAGAGGAGAGGCAACAATTTAAAATATGAGAAAAATAATGCGTTTTTTGAACATCAAGCATGAAAACCTGTTCTAGTAGAGCCCAAAAACAAAATCAAGACTTCGAAAAAGGCCATAATATGGATTTTTATGGATTTTTTAGTCAGTGTTTATTTGAAATAGAAATATCTTGTTACATGATACATGTCTTTGTAAGTTAAATATCTGTGTAATGGTCTCTCTGGTCTCAGTAAGCATGGCGTCAGTGTTGTCACAGCTGATGGGTCAGTGGATGGATGTTCAGGGACTCCTGATATTTCTGTGTGTGCTGCTGTTGGTGAAACACCTGCGAGATGTTCAGTCAAAGAACATGCCGCCAGGACCCTTCCCTCTGCCCTTGCTTGGAAACGCAATGAATATAGGCTTTAGGGATCCACTGGGCTCCTTTCAGAGGGTAAAGTCTCATATGACGTATACAATATAGTATGTAAAATTATTTTATGTGAATGTATAACATGAAGATCATGTTGATCAGATTGCTGAGCGGTATGGAGATGTGAGCACACTTTATCTGGGAAACAAACCCTGCATAATGCTCAGTGGATATGAGACTTTCAAAGAGGCATTTGTGGAACAGGCGGACATCTTCACAGACCGGCCATACTTCCCTATAGTTGACAAGCTCAGTAAAGGGAAAGGTACAGATGGAGAAAAAGTTATAATGCATCTGACTCAAATACTGGCAAAATCTTAAACATTACCTAAAATAATTCTTTCTTTGTAGGTCTAGTTATGTCAAGTGGGCACATGTGGCGTCAACAGAGGCGTTTTGCTCTGGCAACACTGAAATACTTTGGTGTGGGGAAGAAAACTCTAGAAAACTCCATCCTGCAGGAGTGTCGCTGTCTCTGTGACTCTGTACAGACTGAACAAGGTCAGTGAGCATCATTTAATTGCCAGACATCATTTTATTCTTCACAGAAAAGATTTACTGTCATTATTTTATTATAAACCCCAAAAAATATGAAAACAGAATGAATGCACCTTTTTAAAAATCTGTATTATAACCAGGGAATAAAATATTAGTTCAGTGTCATAATCATGTCTTGAAGGGCTGTGTGTACATACTATCCTCTAGAGGCCACTATCTGCAAGTGCAAGTGTCTTTTTTGAAGGTCAAAGAAAGGAAAAGGTGTTTTTTAGGAGAAGTTTGTTTGTTTTTCAGGTTTTCTGTTGTTAAATCTTATAACATTGCTCTTTAATTTGGTTGTTTCTAGGTTTGCCCTTTGACCCTCAGCGTCTTTTGACCAATGCCGTGGCTAATATAATCAGCGGGTTGGTGTTTGGTCACAGGTTTGAGTATGATGATCATCAGTTTCATCTGATGCAGAAGTATGTGGATGACTTCTTACAGCTTCCCCTCTCGAACTGGGGTCGGGTACGAGTTCACCCTGCTATCACAATGTCATAAACAAGGCTAACAATCTAAAAATAAAAAAGTTCATACATATGATTGAAACGGAAATGAACTGGGCTTGATTGACAAGTAGCATGGACATCAGTTTCATAAGCAATAGTAGTCCTTGTTAAATTGTTGCATTGTTTGAAAATAATTTTGACCTCTATTTGTCTCTTTACAGTTATATAATCAGTTTCCCACCCTCATGTCGTTGCTGCCAGGAAAACACCAGACGGCATTCGCCAGCATGTCTAAACTTCAGCCCTTTCTGCAGGAGGAATTCAGAAAACACAAGGAGGAGAGAGACCCATCCAACCCCAGAGACTACATTGACTGTTATCTGGATGAAATTGAGAAGGTAGTGTCGTCATAAGATGCCCTGGTATATTTATATTCCTTTAAGAGGGCTTTATTGGGAGTTGGAACATGTTTAAGCACCTCCGTTATGAATATTCATGTCTGCCCTTCAGAGATCGTGTAATTCCTATTCAGTCAGTCAAGTTTGACGTTACGTCGGACTAACTTCATGGGGTCTCGCCTGGGAGTCCAATTACCTTCAAGTGGTAACTAAACGAGCAACCCTGTGAGCCATTCGGCTCTCCGGATGAGGATCAGATGTTGATAGCTGCATCAGTGAGAGGGCTATCGTCCTCTGGAGAGGAAGATGATGCTGAGCTTCCCGCTTCTGCTGTGTTTGTTCGGATTCAGAGATGACAGCCATGCTTGGCCGTGCTGCTGCGCGCTCTGACTCATTCTGAGCAGTCACGGCTGAATAATTTGGTTTTGGGCTCGAAGCGCAACGCAAAGATCGCCTCGCCTCGTCCCCATGCCTTACTTCCCGGAAGTACATTAGGAGCCTTGGCAGTATGGAGGCAAATTAGTGCCATAATCTGTTAAGAGTTCTTCCTCTCTCACTACCCTTGACTGTGGGGCGATCAGGGGGTTCGTGGGGATTCCCCAGGTGGAGTATGCAATTGCGGTGCATTTATGCTTGCAAAGTGTCGCCCACCTGGAGGAATCGTCTGTGGCTCCCGTCCAGCTCCTGTGAGACGATGGCAGCTCTGCCTGTTAAGCCTCACAGTGCCGCTCGAGCCCTCCCCAGGAAGTTGACTTTGGCTCTGTTTCGCCACTGCCCCATGGCCAGCTGTACCCAAATTCTCGAGATAGAGCGGTTTCCTAACTCTCCGGTCATACAGGGTGTGTGTGGATAGTGAACGACGCACTGCTTCCTCCTTCCCAGCCCCCGTTCTTTCGCCACAGGTAGGGAGTGTGCGTTCGAGGACACGCTGGTTCCTCATGCCTCCCTAGCCAGTCCCTGATGGGACCCGCAGAGCCAGGTAAGTGCATCACACTCACTGCCTCTACTTCGAACGCTGTCCTTCCCGGGTTAGCACTCCTCGCTGCCCCCCGTGGGTACGTCTGTTTTTCCTTTGGTTCCGGTACAGCACTCCATATGAATTTAATCCTGCACACTTTCTGGACGAAAATGGCATGTTTTTGAAAAAAGACACTTTCATCCCTTTTTCAATAGGTAAGTTATGTCCATACAGCTCTATCATCATGTTTACTCAGATTATGAGCATATTTGCTGATCCAGACCTTGATTTCCAGGTAAGAGGATGTGTCCAGGTGAGCAGCTCGCTCGTATGGAGCTCTTCCTCTTCTTCACGTCTCTGATGCAGCGTTTTACCTTCCTGCCTCTGGAGGGACAAACGCTGAGTCTGAAAGGATCTATAAGCGTCTCGTCTGGTCCTGAACCCTTCCAGATATGTGCAGTGCCTCTATAGTGAAGATTAGAATCATTCAAAAATCAGCTTCCTTAGAGCAGTTCTGTTCCTGAATCATGTTCAAGCACCAGTGTTTATTACATAGGTTCTGGGCGTCAAAATGCAGAGACAACAAACTTGATACGATAGTTCAGTACTCAGACCTGCCCGACTCTACCGTTCAAAAGTTTGGGGTTAGTATGAATTTTAAAATGTTTTGATCAAATACAGTAAAAACAGAAATATTGTGAACAATTATTACAATTTAAAATAACTGATTTGTATTTAAATATTTAAAAAGTAATTTATTCCTGTGATCAAAGCTGATTTTGCAGCATCATTCCTCCAGTCTTCAGTGTCACATGGTCCTTCAGAAATCATTCTAATATGATGATTTGCTGCTCAAGAAACATTTACTATTATTATCAATGATGAAAACAGTTGTGCTGCTTCATATTTTTGTGATAACTTTTTGTTGTTTTCAGGATTCTTTGATTAATAGAATGTTCAAATTAACAGCATTTATTTGAAATAGAAATCTACATTATAATCTCATATTTGATCAACAATTTGCTGAATACAAGTTGTCACGATCCCAAACTCAGTAACCTCTGTCTCTGGCCAGCAGAGAGCACCCTCGCCCGAATACTGATCTTCACTTGCACTACATTCCCCATAAGCCTCCCTAATGACTCCAATCACCATGCCCAGCTGCAGCCTATCTACCAGGCTATTTAACCGCACCACAAGCAGCTTTCAGTGCGAAGTTTTGTTTTGCCTTTGTGAACACTACTGAGCGTTTTATCCAGTGATTGTCTGACTGTTTCTCGACCCCTTCTGTCTCTGATTTCTCCTAGCCTGCTGCCTGCCTACGCTACCTCTGCCTGGTTCATGGTCCTTGCCTGTTTGCTGCCTGTTCTGATCTTCTGCCTGGAATTAGACCCCGATTAAGCCTTGCCTCTGATGCTGAGTTTGCTGTCTTTGACCTCTGCCTGTTTGACTATTCTCTCAATAAACTTACGCTGCAAATGGATCATTCTGAGACTGGTGATTCGCAACAGAAAACTTCGCCGCAACCCGATCCAGCAGCTATGTCAAGTTTGTCTGCCGCCTATTCAGCCCAAGCTGATCAGATCGTTGCCCACCATCATCAGCTGAGTCACCTCACCTCGCTGATGGACGAACTGGTCAAAGTTGTTCGAGGTCTCCAAGCTGCGTCATCGGAGCCGCCATCTCCACCTGCCATCGCCGCTGTTGTCAGCCCTGCTCCAGTCCCGCCCACTGCGACTCCTCGTCTTGCACTTCCGGAGAAGTTCGATGGGAATCCAGACAGATGCAAAGGTTTTATCCTCCAGTGTTCTCTGTACATTGAGCAACAGTCGGCTCTGTATTCAACTGACGCGGGGAGGATTGCATTTGTGTGTTCTTTATTGACGGGGAGAGCTTTGGAATGGATAACGGCTGTATGGAGACCAGATGGTTCTGCTTTCCCATCCTTCTCGGTGTTTCTCCAACGCTTCAGGGAGGTCTTTGAGCATTCCAGAGAGGGAAAGAGCGCCGGCGATCGCTTGTTGGAGCTCACGCAGGGAAGATCTACCGCTGCCGAGTATGCTCTCACGCATCGCACCCTGGCTGCACAGACTTCCTGGAACAATGACACGCTCAGGACCATCTTCCGAAGAGGCCTGAACCACGATCTACAGTCAGAATTAGCCTGTCGTGACGAGGGCAGGGACCTCGACCAGTTCATCAACCTCACAATCCAAATAGACAACCTCATGAGATCTCGCCGAGCCAGTCACCGTGCCACCCCTGCTTTCCACGCTGTCCAGGCTACTCGGACCACGACTTCCGATCGCTCCGACGAACCTGAACCCATGCAAATCAACGCCTACCATCTGCCCACGGAGGAAAGAGACCGACGGCTGCGACTCCACCTGTGTTTGTACTGTGGCGAGGCTGGCCATCTGCGCATCTCCTGCCCATCCAGACCTCGCTCAACCGCCCCTCGTCCGGTGAGTCCAGACCTTGAAGCACCATACCTCACCACGTCTGTGTTCGTGCCTGTTGTCATAACGACGAACGGCAAGCGGATACTCACCAGAGCTCTGGTAGACTCTGGGGCCGCTGGGAATTTTGTTTCAACAGACTTTGCCCGTCTACACAACATTCCTCTAATCCGTTGTGTTTCCTCCCTCGCAGTCGAAGCCATCGACGGAAGGCCATTAGGCTCTGGTCAAATCTCTCACCTCACCCATGAACTCCAGCTGCAGACAGGGGCGCTCCACTCTGAGGTAATCCAATTCTATGTTTTCCATGGTCCACGCACTCCAGTAATCCTGGGCCTGCCATGGCTCCGCAAACACAATCCCCAAATCCACTGGAGAACTAACCAGATTACCCGCTGGGACGCATCCTGTCACTCCAAGTGCCTCGCTCCCGTTGCCCCGTCCTCCATCCAGGTCATCTCCGTGCCCGTAGAGAGGGCTGACCTGAACGGTCTTCCCTCTGAATACCATGATCTGGCCGAGGCCTTTAGCAAAGCAGGAGCCTCTCAGCTCCCACCTCATCGCGACAACGACTGTGCCATCGACCTGCTACCCGGTTCTGTACCTCCCAAGGGCCGTATCTTTCCTCTTTCTCAGCCAGAATCCGAAGCGATGAGGAAATACATTGAGGAAGAGCTTGCGAAGGGCTTCATTCGCCCTTCAACGTCCCCTGCATCCGCTGGGTTCTTCTTCGTCCAGAAGAAGGACGGAGGTCTCCGACCCTGCATCGATTACCGTGCCCTGAATGACATCACCATAAAGTTTCGCTATCCGCTCCCACTGGTACCTGCCGCCTTGGAGTTACTTCGTACTGCCAAGCACTTCACCAAGCTCGATCTACGCTGTGCTTACAATCTTATCCGCATTAGGGAGGGGGACGAGTGGAAGACGGCCTTCTCCACCAACACGGGGCACTATGAGTACCTGGTCATGCCGTTCGGCCTGGCGAACAGTCCTTCCGTCTTCCAGTCTTTTATCAATAACATCTTCAGAGACATGCTCCACCGTACCGTCGTTGTGTACATCGATGACATCTTGATTTACTCCGACACCCTCTCGGACCATGTGCAGCACGTTCGGGCCGTCCTCCAGAGACTCATTCACCACCATCTATACGCCAAGCTGGAGAAGTGTGAATTCCACCAGACCTCCATTTCGTTCTTGGGGTATGTCATCAGCCCAGACGGAGTTGCTATGGACGAGGGTAAGGTCAGAGCAGTCCGTGATTGGCCACGACCCACAACCCTGAAGGAGCTGCAGCGCTTCCTTGGATTTGCTAACTTTTATCGACGGTTCATAAGGAACTTCAGTGCCGTGGCCAATCCTCTCACTTCTCTGGTAAAGAAAGGAACACATCGTCTTCCGTGGAATAACTCAGCCACCCAGGCTTTTAACTTGCTCAAACAATGTTTCACCACAGCGCCCATCTTGCACCATCCTGACCCCGGACTACCGTTCATAGTTGAGGTGGACGCCTCGAACACTGCTCTGGGGGCCATCCTCTCACAACGTCAAGGTTCGCCCCCCAAGCTGTACCCTTGTGCATACTACTCCCGTAAGCTGAACGCTGCCGAGAGAAATTATGATGTGGGTGATCGGGAGCTGCTGGCCATGAAGGCCGCTTTCGAGGAGTGGCGGCATTGGCTCGAGGGCACTCTCCATCCTTTCGTCGTATTCACCGACCATAAGAACCTGGAGTATCTACGTGCCGCAAAGAGGCTAAACCCCAGGCAGGCTCGTTGGTCGCTATTTTTCACCCGGTTCCACTTCACTGTCACTTATCGACCAGGGTCTAAGAATACAAAGGCAGACGCCCTGTCACGCCAAGGTGACTCCGAGCTCTCACCACAAGACCCCAAAACAGTACTGGCTCCCAACCTCGTTGTCGCCCCCATTCAGTGGGACATCGACACAGAAATCGAACAGATCAATTCCCGCGCAGATGTCCCACCCGGCTGCCCACCTGACCGAGTCTTTGTCCCCGAGACTCTCCGGAGCCAGGTCCTAGAACTCGTTCATGCCCATCCAAGCTCGGGGCATCCAGGTATCACCACCACCATCCAGCTACTCCAGAACCATTATTGGTGGCCCTCTTTAGCCTCAGACACCACAACCCATGTGCAACACTGCCGGGTCTGCAACACTCAGAAGTCGTCACGTCAACTACCTGCCGGTCTGTTACACCCTCTTCCAGTTCCACAACGTCCTTGGTCGCACATTGCCATCGATTTCATTACCGATCTCCCAGTTTCTGAAGGATACACCACCATCCTCACTGTTATCGACCGCTTTTCCAAGGCCTGCCGTCTAATTCCCCTCGCAAAACTCCCTACAGCACTGCCGACCGCCGAACACCTCTGCAACCAGGTGTTCAGGTTTTATGGCTTGCCCGAAGACATTGTTTCCGATCGAGGCCCCCAGTTCACTTCTCAGGTCTGGTCAGCCTTTTTCAAGACCCTTCAAGTCAATATCAGTCTTACGTCAGGGTATCATCCGCAATCCAACGGACAGGCCGAGCGCATGAACCAAGAGGTGACCCGTTTTCTGCGCTCTTATTGCCATCAGCACCAACAGGATTGGAGTCGTTACCTGATCTGGGCCGAATACGCCCAGAATTCCATCCGCAAACACTCTACTGGCCTGACCCCCTTTCAATGCGTCCTGGGCTTTCAACCGCCTCTCTTCCCGTGGTCAGGTGAACCCACAAATGTCCCTGCAGTGAACGACTGGCTTCAGCGCAGCGAGGAAACCTGGAACCTGGCCCACACCCACCTCCAACGAGCGGTTCGCCGGCAGAGGGAACAGGCTGACCGCCGGCGTCGGCCGGGGCCTGAGTATCACCCGGGCCAGTGGGTCTGGCTGTCGACCCGAGACCTACGCCTCCGACTCCCCTGTAAAAAGCTCAGTCCCAGGTTCGTGGGTCCGTTCAAAATCACACATCAGATCACCCCCGTCTCTTTCCGTCTAGATCTACCTAACCAGTACCGACTCGCTCCCACTTTCCATGTCTCCCTTCTCAAACCTGCCGATGGTCCCAATGAGAGGGAGGAGAGATCCCAGGACCAGACTCCCCAGCCCATTCTAGTGGAAGGTGAGGAGGCCTATCAGGTTAAGGAGCTTGTGGACTCCAGACGTCGGGGAAGTTCCCTGCAGTACCTAGTTCATTGGGAGGGATACGGCCCTGAGGAACGTTCTTGGGTGGACGCTTCTGACATCCTGGATCCCAGCCTGATTACTGACTTCCACCTGGCTTATCCCACCAGGCCGGCCCCACGACCACGTGGAAGACCCCGACGTCGTCAGGTTCCTCGCGCCAGGAGTCGCTCACAGGGAGGGGGCTCTGTCACGATCCCAAACTCAGTAACCTCTGTCTCTGGCCAGCAGAGAGCACCCTCGCCCGAATACTGATCTTCACTTGCACTACATTCCCCATAAGCCTCCCTAATGACTCCAATCACCATGCCCAGCTGCAGCCTATCTACCAGGCTATTTAACCGCACCACAAGCAGCTTTCAGTGCGAAGTTTTGTTTTGCCTTTGTGAACACTACTGAGCGTTTTATCCAGTGATTGTCTGACTGTTTCTCGACCCCTTCTGTCTCTGATTTCTCCTAGCCTGCTGCCTGCCTACGCTACCTCTGCCTGGTTCATGGTCCTTGCCTGTTTGCTGCCTGTTCTGATCTTCTGCCTGGAATTAGACCCCGATTAAGCCTTGCCTCTGATGCTGAGTTTGCTGTCTTTGACCTCTGCCTGTTTGACTATTCTCTCAATAAACTTACGCTGCAAATGGATCATTCTGAGACTGGTGATTCGCAACACAAGTATTATTTCTTTATTAAAAAAAATATTTCTGACCCCAAACCTTTGAATGGTACTTTAATTGGCGCTTTAATAACTAATTTGCATCCTCGTTTGGATCCTTAAAATATTTCTCTAGGAACTTTGGCAGATGTCATTTAGAGAATTTGGAGTCTGAATGTTTTGCAGACAAACACCAATTAAATTTTCTGCATAGATCATATTATTAACATATTGACCAATATGTTCTGAGGGCAAAGTCGAAACTTAATGAAACAGATAGACATGAGGATGTTGTGAGGATGCTATGTTTGCGTAAATTTAGTCAAGTACAACTAAAAGCCACCATTTGATCAAAGAAGTTTGAATTTGTCTTGCTTTTACTGGTAAATATTTATCTAATTTCTCAAATCTAGAGATCCTTGTGACAAAAGTTTTTTATATAGTTTTTTTCCCCTTTCATCACATACAAACTTTGTGCAAATGGACTAGCATTTATTTGAAATATAAATATTTTGTAACATTATAAATGTCTTTACTGTCATTTTTGATCAATTTAATGCATCCTTGCTTAATAAAAGTATTATTTTCTAAAAAATAAACAAAAAGTCTTACTGACGTTACTGAAACATTTTTTTTCTTATAATCAATGTTGTGAACAAAAACAGTTGTGCTGTTTTTCATTATATCGGAGATGAGAAAAGGATCCAGTTCAATACATTACATGTGAAATGTCATGTGAAATATTTGAGCAAATATAAAACCTGATCTGGTATTGTATCTCAATGCCAAGTTGTACATCTATAAAGCCACACAATTCATGCATATCTTCACAGGATGATAAATATGGTTCATGAATATTAATTAGATGACATGATGGTCCAGGAAGGGCCCAGAATCATGATCATTAATTTAGTTCGGTTGACAAGTAATAGTCTGAACCCTTGAAAATCAAGTAAACTGGCAGTAATCTAGGCCATTAGCTCTGCAAATGTCTCAGGTGATGAACAAACACAAACACCATAAAAATTCATAACTGGCATGATCAGGTCGAGGGTTTAAAATAATTTCTTTGAGGTAATGGCTATCTCAGATACAGACTCCACAGTGAGACCTGAATTACATTTACAATAGGTGTATTTTCTGATGTGAAAATCTCTGAAAATATGAACTTGATAAAGTATACACTATTTCTAATAGTCTGTTTTGTATGATGATCATTGCAGCGTTTCTATTACAAATGAGTCAAAAAATGTGGCTTACATATGTTGAAGAAGTTAATTTAATATTAATAAGACATTGTGGTATATAAATACATTTTAAACATTAGGGCCACAATTTGAAACTGGGCAAATTAGCGTGCAGCTGATGGGAGTGGAAAGTTGTACGGGTGTTGTGACCTCAGGCTCAAAAAAGACAGTTATTTTGTACATATAAATACACACACAATCATGTATATATTTAAGAAAAATGTGTTATAAATTATAATATAAATTATGTCAAAAATATATAGTATATACATGCAAATATTTCTTAAATATACATGCATATGTGTGTATTTATATATACAAAGTAATTATACACAGCACACACACATATATTATAACACAAACCTTTATTTTGCATGCTATTAATTGCGATTAATCGTAGCCCAGCACTAAAAGAAACAAAATAATGCTAATATTATTATACATAATATTATAAATGTTAAATACATACACACAACTTTGTTTTCAGATTTTATTGTGAATTTGTGCAGACCTGGGCTGCGTTCAGCCCCGACAAAACGTTGCACAACGTTTTTTAAACAGAAACGGTGATGCGTTGAACACACTGTTCTGATGACGCAAGAGTTGCACTTTGTGTTCTTTGAAGAATTTCCGGAGCCTGATGAAGTCGGTATAAATGTTTAATACTACAAAATATGCCCGACCGATGTTACAGTTGCACTTGCCGCCCAGAACACAAGAGAACATCCCAGTCGAGTGAAGGGATTGCTGAAACTGAAATGGAAGCACACAATTCAGACTAAAACACATCTATTTAGCCTCACATAGGCCTACTGACTTTATTTGTAGTTCATACTGTTTTAATACCCTATATTTTTACATTTTTAGGAAAAGTGTACAGCAACACGAATTGAGGTAGGTCTATGTTAAATAATCTGCTAAAGTTATTGTTGTTTAGCAATGATGCTACATTTATTATTTATAAACGATTAGCTAGATAGAGCTAGGGTAGGTAGATATCAATTCATTTCTATATAGGCCTATCAATGGATGGGTCTATAATTTGTCGCGAGACAAAAAGGTGGGTCAGGTTGATGTTCTGTCTGGCTCAAACTTAGCTAACCACGTGTAGGTTTAGCTGCCCCTAGTCTTCTCTACTCACTTTAAAATTCATTTTCTTTTTAATTTTCTTTTGTTGCCTGTCTTTAGCTTGCGTGACATGCCTCTTCTGGTAAGACCCTGTTTACTCCTTGCTTTAAAACATAGGCCTACTCCACATGGTTTCTGGCCTGGGGCAACGTTACAGATATTGGAAATATGTGAACTTGTTTTTTCCCCGTTTTTTTACAGTCTATGGTGTGAACACACACACAAAAAAAACACATTTATAATGGGCATATATGATATGTGTATGTGCATATTTTGTAACTTGTTTTTCCCCCGTTTTTTTACAGTCTATGGTGTGAACACACACAAAAAAACACATTTATAATAGGCATATATGATACGTGTATTTAAATCTCTCCAAGTAAAGAGTTGAACTGCACACTCACTCAAAAAATTTTATTATTTCCAACATCATACATGATGAAACCCACATTAAAAACTTTTCCCATATGGTTTGAATGTAGATTCTGGTTTGAGTTGTTTCTTATAAATGAGATGATCTAATTGAACATTTCAGCTCACATGTAGTCATTTTATAGCTTCATCTATTGATTCTAAAGCGTATATATTGCATTTATATATTTAAAACCTGTGTAATAATAATTGATGAACTAAAATTGTAGGCTACATGTGGGGTCGATTTAGGGTATAATAATTGTATAAATAATTTCTAAATCATACAAATTTATTAATCTAAATAAGCATTACTAAAAGCCAGGCGATTTTGTCTTTAAAAATCATTTGCTATGTAGTGACCTTTAATTTGGAGTAGAAACAGGTGGAGTGACTTTATCACGTCAGACATGTCACTTTGCTCACAGCTGATTGGTCCAAGTTCGTTTTGCAACCTCATACCTCACATTATGTGAGTCACATAATAACCACCAGAGCTATTAGTGCCCCGGACCAGGTTAGCCGTGCAGCGTAAGTTACTATGGCGATGAACACTGCTAAAAGCCAAACCACTTTCATGGTATTGGTGCCTAAAACCCAGGGTTGGCGCAAACTAAACTGAAACATAACTGGCTAGCCAAGCCACCTAAACCGGCTTCATGGTATAGGCCCCAGCCTCCCCATATAGGAGTAGCCAGAGCCGTTGAAATACGAAATATTTAATGGCTCTGGAGTTTGTATGCTGCTTTTATAATGCTGTTGTTGAAAAATATGTGGGCCGTGGGCGGACGCGCCGTGACGTAATCACAACAACATTCCACAGTTTCTTCCTTGCAGACCGACTCCTACAGTTTTGGCTGTACGCTTATTTCCACGACCGTCCATAGTTTGATAAATAAACATCATTCTCGTAAGTACTGATATCCTGACCAACATCTATGCTGTGTAGCTATGACATTAACGATGCTGTAGTTGTGTTTGAGCTGTAAACTCAGGCGGTAAAGTCCAACTTTTACTTCGTTGTGTTTTTACCGTGAAAGGACTGTTGTTGGCGGTTTAAGTGTTTGCCTGCTTACTTTGCCTTTTTCTGCTTACTTTGCGTTGGAGGCAAAATCACCCACTTGAAATAATATTGAAATAAAGTTATAGTAATATAATTTATATATACTCTAACTCTCAAATATAAAATTACATCAAGGTAGACCATAACATTTTAATGTGGTCTTTCATACTATAAAGAATTAAATGCGTTAAGGTCAGGTAAGGTTTAGTTATTGGATTAATTAATTGATATTACTTAAATGTTTTGTATTTCTGAATTGAAGTCATATTTTTTTAAATGTATTTATTATTAAAATCCAGCTGGTGTAATGTCTAGAGATGTTTGTGTTTCTGACCCAACAGCCATCGAACTGAAGGAGTCTTGAAGTGACTTTTTCTGTGAAACAATTGACCTGCTAACAATAAAAAAATAAAAACAGTATAACAATAGAAAGTTCCACTTCATACATATCAGCTGCAAGTGCAACAGACGCTGTCATAAACATTCATAACTGACAGTGTGTTTACAAGGTCAATATCAGAGCCGGACAGTAACGGAGTACATTTACTTGAGTACAGTACTTAAGTAAAATTTTGAGGGATCTGTACTTTACTCGAGTATCATTTTTGGGGAGTACTCATGACTTTACTCAAGTACATTTGAGAGGCAAATATTGTACTCTTTACTCCAATACATTTCTATCCATAACCGTGAGTACACGAGTAAAAAAAAAAAAAAAAAATCTCGGAAACCCTCAATTTGTTGTTTCCCTCTCAAACGTGATTGGATTGTGCAGGCGCCACTGATTGGGACAGCCTATCAGCAATCACTTTCAGCTTTCCGCCAAAGTCAACTCCATGGTCAGATTTTATATTACACATTAATGTAAGCCAAGCATTTGGTTTGATGTTCTTGAGTATGTGGTGTGTTTAACACAGTCAGGTTCAAATGTGGCAGTGCCGTAGCCACGAGGGATTTCTGATTTCTTAAAAAAAAACTTTAGGAGGCAAAATATATTTTTACTGATTATGTGAATTACACTGCGCAAACCAAAGTAGGCTACTACCCAGCGAATGAAGAAGGGTTGGCGCTCAGTCTCCAGAGTACATAAAATATTCATTTTGTTTTATTTTATTTTTCCGGTTTGCATTTATGAGGGAAAAACAATGTTATGGACGTGTTCTCCGTTACGGACGTGAGCGCTCTGAAAGCGGCATAAAAAATGCTTTAAAACTTTCACAGAGACATCAAACAGAAAACACAAAACCTTTCTTTAACCTGAATTTCGTTTTGCATTAATTGTATCTTAATTTTAATCAATGTTTCATCAACCAATTGCCTGGGTTTAGTAAATAAGAAGTAAATAGCAGACGATAGATAAGAAACGGAGGCGCCGGCACGTGAACTGGATCTCGTCTCATAAATGAACCGAAACTCAGTGTATAAGGTAGCCTACTTGCCTCTCACAGACATGTCTACTTTTAAACAGAAAAATTCAAAACGAAAGAAAACAGACTACAGACTGCTCTCTGCTTATGTAATCCGTATGAAATGTGCATTTCTCTCTGGCGCGTTCACTACTGAAGATCGCGAGTCAGCATCGTCAACTTCATCTAGCCGACACTGACCAAGAAAACACTTGTTTATTAACAAGTGTTTATTAATAAACAATTAAAATATCTCCTTGCTATATTTTACATATTCATAATCATTCCTTTTGCCGGTTCTTTGTGACAGCTTTTAGGTGCTTTATTGGCAGCGCCACCCTTACATGTGGTGTGTGTGTGTGTGTGTGTGTGTTGTCCCCGCATTTAAAAATGGGACCCCCCAAAAATTTAATTAAATTAAATAAAGCAACATGGTAAAAAGATGAAAATGACTTGATTTTACTTTCAATTCCTTTTACATTCTCCAAGGTATTAACATTAACATTTTTCATAACTCCATGTAGGACGTTTCTGTGCATAAATGTAAGCACTGTGGCAGTAGATTAGTAATGCAATATTTAGAAAATCTACTCTTGTACTCTTGATACTCAAGTACTTTTAAAAACAAGTACTTTAGTACTTTTACTTAAGTAGACATCTGAATGTAGTACTTTTACTTGTACTTGAGTAAAATTTAGCAAGGGGTATCTGTACTTTTACTCAAGTAACAAAGCTCTGTACTCTGTCCGCCTCTGTTCAATATTATTCTTATTGATTTATCAGGTCTGAGTTCTTCGACGGAACCTGTATGATAATTAGGAGTATTTTCTCTCTGACATGCTTGATGTCCTAGTTCTGAATGCAGTGTTTGAAAGTTCAGGACTATTAGTCAGACATTAACTGATTCATCAGGAGTGAGATAAAACATGCCCCACAAATTGACCTGTTGTTCGTTTGGAAAATGGAAGCATTTGTTTGACTTTGACTTTGACTTTGACAGACTTTATTGTCATTCAGAATACAACAAGTGTATACAGAACGAAATTTCGTTTGCATAGGCCACAGATTTCTTACAGTTTCAATTTTGCAGTTTGTACAAACAGATTATAATAAATAAATAAATAAATAAATAAATAAATAAATAGTAAAGTAGAATAAATAATTTAGCTATCTAAATATCTATCTCAATATTTGACAGTAGTCAAGTATAGAACCAGCAGTACTAAGTATTATTTATTAGTGTTCAACAGTCTGATGGCTTGGGGGACAAAGCTGTTATAAAACCTGGAGGTCCGACACCGCATGCTGCGGAACCTCTTTCTGGAGGCCAGCAGACTAAACAGACCGTAGTGGGGGTGAGAGGCAGTAGCGGAGTGGCAATCGGGAGAGTCGGGAGTTTTCCCGGTGGGCCGGTAGTGTTTCGAGGCCGCGAGGGCCGGTCTGATAAAATATATTCATTGCAAATTCGCCATGCGCACTTGGGGCCCAAGCGAGGGGAAGAAAACATTTTTTTTAACATTTTCTATAACAGAGCGTATATTTGCACTAAGTGCCTGTCTTTAAAGCAAAAAGACACTAGTTACGAAACAGCTACAGTGGCGTAGGTCGTAGGGCGTGAAGTGCTTGAAAGCATCTTTTGATGCGCTCGACCCGAGTTCGAATCCGCCTTTTGCCGAACTTTCTCTTCTCCCTTTTCCCAACACATATGTAAAGATGTAAAATGTATAACCTAACATTAAGGTCTCTAGCGTTATATTTTGCCAACGAACTAAAATTGAAACCATGATATGGCTTTGTGTCTTTATAAAACAGCACAAGACTTTAAGAATAGGCATCCTGTCTGTGCTGGGTGATTACTTTGCTCACGCGATCAGCATGGTTATCTTGTGTTTTCTCCTAAAAGCTCAAGGGTTTATTTCTTGCAAATGAAGAAATTAGGACAAAAATATTTTAATTGTCCTATATTATAGTGTAATGTAGGCTAAAATATACTTTTGAAATATTCATTTTCATTTATATAGTACATTTATAGGCTAAATGGATTTTACGTCATAGGAATAATTATATAAATCATTATTACATTATAATAATAATTGTTTGGCATCCTAAAACATCATTGATAATGTAATGCAGACTGAGACTCTCATAACTAAAAAGATGCCCTCTTTATTGTCCTGGTACAAATCAATGCTTTTTCTTTGTTCAACGAGCAGTTCATGGGTTGAAGCTCTTAATTTTGATCTCTCAAAGAGCACGAGATTGATGCATTTAACCTTAAAATGTAAAAAAAATTCTTGCGGGGGAGCATGCCCCCGAACCCCCCTAGAGGCACAGAGGTCCACCCAACATAGTTTTAAAAATTCCTATGGGAAAGAACGACCATTTATGAACTTTACTCCAGCATAGTACAACAAAGTTACTTTTAAATCAGTAAAACTGTAAATGCCGTATTAAAATGTCCCTGGACAAAATATACATTTGGCCTGCCTAAGAGGGGACCTACAAGACATTGTGCCCAGGGGGCTCTTAATCCGGCCCTGCCGGCGACGAGGGCCGGTGGTCTACGAAATTTCCCGGTAGATTTTTTGGTCCCACTCCGCCCCTGGTGAGAGGGGTCCCCGCAAATTTTCCTGGCCCAAGAGGCACAGCGGTTCTCTGCAATGTCCTGAATGGAGGGAAGAGAGGTGCCGATGATTCTCTCCGCTGTCTTCACCACCCTTCTTATTCTTATTCTTCAATTTCCACTTTGAAATTAATTAAAGATTGATTCTTTACATTAAAGCTTACCATTTACATTTGATTTTCGTCTTACTTTATGAAAATGTTGGTGTTACATTATCACCCACTACCCTCAAAACTGTCTTCAATCCATAACTCAGTACTTCTTATAGATTAATTAGGTAAATAAATGTATATATAATATACTTAAAGCTGCAGTCCGGCGTTTTTCCTCTTTGTCGCCATCTCTGTTCGAAATCTGCAATTGCAGTCATTCGCGGAATTATCAACTTTACGTGAGTTGTACCTCAACACCCTGACACGGCACAGCGCGGATGAACACAGTGTTTGAGGAGAGTGTGCAGCTGTCAATCACCGCACCGGTGTGGATACTGGCATTCAGAATCAGATTTTTTTTTTTGGAAGTATGACCAACATAAGAATTTTCACCGGAAAATGTCATCTGAACTAGTAAGAAACATCTACTTTTGTTCTGGTTCTGACATTGCAGTAAATCACGCTGATTAAATCTAACAATCGCTTATAAGTTATCATATCACGCAAAACCGTGCAAATTATACTTTGTTCTCAAATTGTTAATGTTAACAACGTAAGCATTGCGTGACTACATGCAATGTCCTTCCGATATGTATCCTTGTTTTCGCATGGGCCGTTGCAGTCTCTTTTTTTCTGTAGCCACTCCGAAGTCTGAACAAAGTCTTTTGCATTTTACAGCGGGTGAATCTGTTGTCACTGGTGATTGTTGTTTGAACCTTTCTGGATCCGCCATCAAATTGATAAGTTTAATTATATCAAGTGCTGTGAGAAAAGGCTATAAATCTCCACCTCCAACATCCTCACACGGACGCAATATAGCCTACTAGCCGAGACTCTTCTTTATGTGTACAGATGTGACGTAATGACTCAATATAGCCTACTAGCCGAGACTCTTCTTTATGTGAACAGATGTGGCGTAATGACTCAATATAGCCGACTAGCCGAGACGATGTGACGTAATGACTCAATATAGCCTACTAGCCGAGACTCTTCTTTATGTGTACAGATGTGTGTGTACAGATGTGACGTAATGACGCAAAGACATGCTCGAATCTCCCGTGGAAATCCACCAGTACCACTGGAGTTAAAAACATTATTACAAGCTTACCGCTTTGAATCGAGCTAAGGCAAGCAGAGAGTTTTGAACACTGGCTGGTTATGTATTTTCTCAAATATGTATTTTGGATAATTTTTAACCCCAAAAAAGCTACGGACTGCAGCTTTAAGTACACATATCCGTTCAAAGGTTTTCGGGTTGGTAAGATTTTTTTAATTCTCTTATGCTCAACAAGGCTACATTAATTTGATGCAAAAACAGAAATATTGTGAAATATTATTACAATTTAAAATAACTTTTCTATATGAATATATTTTAAAATGTAATTTATTCTTGTGATCAAAGATAGATTTTCAGCATCATTACTCCAGTCTTCAGTGTCACGTGATCCTTCAGAAAACATTCTAATATGCTGATTTGCTGCTCAAGAAAGATTTATTATTATTATGATCAATGTTGAAAATAATTAAAGAGGACCTATTATGCTTTTTTACATGTTCAATTCTTTGCTGTTTGAAAAAGTTGCAAAGTTACAAAGTCCCTCCAGCGGGAGTTATTCTTTATATCAGTGCGCACTGTTTCTGAACTCCCTGAAACGCCTCCATTGTAGTCTTAAATTTTCTTCCGGGAACGAACACGTCACAATATTCCCCATTAATAATTCCTGCCCAAGGCATATACAAAGTAAAGGGACGGGGCCTGGTTGAGTTAGTTAGTAGTGTGTTGAAACTCGTGGTTATGGTAAGGGCTGGGACATTTCCCAAACACATTTGAAGTGCTTGACCAATCACAACACACTGCTCCACCCGACCAATCAGAGCACATTGAGCTTTTCAGAAGGAGGGGCTTCATAGAGACAGGAACTAAACAGAGCGTTACTGACAGACTGGGAAGAGAGGAGGTTACATTTAACCATGAAAATGTCTTCTAGTAGAGCCCAAAAACAAAATCAAGACTTTGAAAAAGGCCATATTAAACCTCTCAACAAGGCCATCACTGTGGGTATATAGAGGTGTGGTCCTTGTTTTGTGGATCCCTAATTTTTCGAACATTACTGAGAAGTATATTACTGTTACATTACATGTGACTCAATTCCAGCCTTGGTCGCTGTGTATGGATTCTGCAACCCCAAACCGGCTAAACATGCCATCCATCAACGCGTTCACCACTGTCTCTGCTTTTTGGTCAGGCATTGCATAAGCTTCTGGCCATTTAGTGAAATAATTCATAGCTGTCAACAGGTAAACCTGTTACCCTTCTCCGAACATGGATAAGGACCCATTACATCCTCACCCACTCTCCCCATTAGGCCCCCTACGGGGAATTTGCGGGCAGTGTAACCATCACACCTCTGACAAAAATCCTCCACATCTCTCCTCACAAGCCCCCAGTAAAAACTGGCTGACATATTTGAATGTTTTTGAAACCCCAAAGTGTCCAGACCCCACCGTCTCATGGACAGCCCTGATAACACCCTCAAACAGCGACCTCTGCACCAACACCTGCCACCTCCCCTCCCCAGTGGCAGGGTCTTTCCACTCCCTCTCTAACACCCCGTCTCGCAGGCGCAGGTCCTTGAATTTGTCCCATAAGGTTATTGTGGACAGAGAGAGAAGGGCCACTTCCTCACACAGAGGTCGCTGCTGAGTTTGGACCCAATGGATTACTGGCTGTAGGTCCGCATCTTCATCTTGCAGCCGCCTCCAGTCCTCTACTCCTATTGTCCCCACCGTCAAACACGCCGGTGTATCAATCCCAGCCAATCCCCACACCAGCCACTCTGACCGTGGAATTCCCAATTACACCCTGTCCATTAACCTGGCAAAAGTAGGCGGTGCATTGCAGAGCCCGAAGCAGAGCCCCCTGAACTGCAATTGCCCCCTACTAGTACTAAAAGCACTGCCTGGCATTGGTAGCAAGTCGTACCTGCCAATAGCCAGTGCGCAGTTCCAGGGAAGTTAACCATGCAACCCAGTTACCTTCCTGGTGACCTCATTAAGACACCTATAGGCAATGCAAATCTCCATAGAACACCGTTCTCCTGCCCAAACCTCCTGGAGAGGCTCGTGGCTGGCTCTGAAGGGAACTGTGTGGCCACCCCGGGGAAGATGTCGGCTAAGGTGTGGGGTAAGGGAGTGGAGAAAACATGTACATGTGGCAGACTGGCATAAATGCTTGGGTGGGTGCCTATGGAGCTCCACAGGGGTAAGGGCCTGGATGAATTGGTCTCTTGCACCCCATGAACTGACGGGGGCATATGCTTGCCGTGTCAAATTTTCAATATCATTTACCAGGACTCTCATATGCCCATTTTCTCATATCCCTCCCTCTGTAAGACACATATCCGATTCAAGAGCTTTGCCGTCCTCTGACCAGTTTCCAACATGAACCGACCATTCAAATTGTGCATGAAAAGCTTCCCAATCAGCTTAATCTGAGAATTTGGGTGTTCCCAGTTCCCAACCACACATCACTGCACAGCCCCCCCCCCCCCCCCCCCCTAAAAAAATTATCTTCAGGCTTGCTACAATATGGACTGTTTACATTTTTTAAGGATTTTTTTTTTGTCAGCGCTTATACATGTCATTGTAAGTTAAATGTCTGTGTAATGGTCTCTCTGGTCTCAGGAAGCATGGCGTCAGTGTTGTCACAGCTGATGGGTCAGTGGATGGATGTTCAGGGACTCCTGATATTTCTGTGTGTGCTGCTGTTGGTGAAACACCTGCGAGATGTTCAGTCAAAGAACATGCCGCCAGGACCCTTCCCTCTGCCTATCATTGGAAACCTTATAAATATAGGCTTCAGGGATCCACTGGGTTCCTTTCAGAGGGTAAAGTCTCATATGATGCATACAAATATGTGAAAGTATTTTATGTGAATGTATAACATGAAGATCATGTTGATCAGATTGCTGAGCGTTATGGAGATGTGAGCACACTTTATCTGGGAAACCAGCCCTGCATACTGCTCACTGGATACGAGACTTTCAAAGAGGCATTTGTGGAACAGGCGGACATCTTCACAGACCGGCCGCGCTTCCCTCTGAGTGACAAGCTCACTAAAGGGAAAGGTCCAGATGGAGAAAAAGTTATTTTGCACCTATCTGATTCAAATACTGGCAAAATCTAAAACATTACCAAAAATCATTCTTTTTTTGTAGGTCTATTTATGTCAAGTGGGCACATGTGGCGTCAACAGAGGCGTTTTGCTCTGGCAACACTGAAATACTTTGGTGTGGGGAAGAAAACTCTAGAAAACTTCATTCTGCAGGAGTGTCGCTGTCTCTGTGACTCTGTACAGACTGAACAAGGTCAGTGAGCATCATTTTATTGCCAGACACCATTTTATTCTCTTCACTAGCAAGATTTGCTGTCATTCATTTAAAACTCAAGAATATGTGTAAACAGAATGAATGCACCTTTTTAAAATCTGAAAATGTATTATAACCAGGGAATACAATTCTTGTTCAATGTCATAATCATGTCTTGAACGGCTCTGTGTACATACTATCCTCTTGAGGCCACTATCTGCAAGTGCAAGTGTCTTTTTTTGAAGGTCAAACATCTGGGAAACTCCATCTTTCCTTAATTTTTTTATTTTATTTAAATATATACTGTGAGATCCAAACAAATAAATAAAATTGTAGTAATCATACATATGTAATAATACATAAATAATACATAAATACTATGTTAATAATAATAAATTGGATATAAATTAAGTAAAAACATATTTAAGATTAACTATTGTACAGGTCTAGAGTAAATTTGTGAGCAAAAGTGTGGTATTCAGCATGTGGATGGAAACATTAGTGTTCTCATAAGTTTGGATGCCACTATATATTTGAGAAAGGAAAATATATTTTTTAGGAGATGTTTGTTTGTTTTTCAGGTTTTCTGTTCTTAAATCTAATAACATTGCTCTTTAATTTGGTTGTTGTGTTTCTAGGTTTGCCCTTTGACCCTCAGCATCTTGTGACCAATGCCGTGGCTAATATAATCAGCGGGTTGGTGTTTGGTCACAGGTTTGAGTATGATGATCATCAGTTTCATCTGATGCAGAAGTATGTGGATGACATGTTACAGCTTCCCATCTCAAACTGGGGTCGGGTACGAGTTCACCCTTCTATCACAATGTCATACATGTCGAACTTGGCTTTATTGACAAGTGTTAACAATATCAGTTTCATTCAAGGAATAGTAGTGCTTGTTAAATTGTTGCATTGTTTGAACATTTTTTGTCCTTTATTTGTCTCTTTACAGTTATATAATCAGTTTCCCACCCTCATGTCGTTGCTGCCAGGAAAACACCAGACGGCATTCGCAGGCTTGTTTAAACTTCAGCCCTTTCTGCAGGAGGAATTCAGAAAACACAAGGAGGAGAGAGACCCATCCAACCCCAGAGACTACATTGACTGTTATCTGGATGAAATTGAGAAGGTAGTGTCATCCTAAGATGTCCTGGTGTATTTATATTCCTTTAAGAGGGCTTTATTGGGAGTTGGAACATGAGTTACAGGCCTAATAGCGCTCCGGCACCATGCCGGATTTCCGGCGTATAGACATGTCTGCGGGGAAAAAAAAATTCATGTTCGCGTTCGCGTGATCTGACAATTCCAGACTTGCCAACCTGTACGCATTTTGACCTCAAAGTACGCTGGTGCTATTTGTCACTCTAAACTACGCAAAAACCTGGTGACGCCTCTGTGCAGAAAAAGAAGCGGAGTTCGACCAATCATAGCGCTGGGTTCATTCGGGGATGATTGACAGATGCGTAAGGCCTATCATTAAAAAGAGACTGGAAATCGACAGAAGAATCTCGCTCCATCCCGCGGCGCGCCTTCTGACTGAGTTCATAAGCGAGGACAGTCACGGTACTTCTGACTCCTGAAGGTAAACGGGCTGGGGTGGATGTGGAAAGTTGAAATATTGTTTTTAGTTAACTTAATCTGGATTCGATGATCGCACGGGAGTGATTTTATGGATTATTTTAGGATAGCCTACTCCGTCATTCATGGTCACTCAGATAAGAGGAAAACATCATTCAGCCATGCAAATTATAAAATGCTAAAGTATTGATGAACAATAAATCTAAATAAAATTAAAATCGCTGTCTTAGTGATTATGAAAGTTCTGTGATTTGTGTAGCTATTACTGATAAACGCGAGTCTGGAGACGCAGCCGTTTATTTATTCATTCTCAGTGTAGAGAAACGCCTGCATGTTTTACGTTATTGTGTTAATAATAACTAAAGTAAATTGTTACATATATATTTTGTATGAAAACTAGCGCATTAGTTACTTATGGATTAAAAAGTAGGCTACTGTTGTATCAGTGCAGCGAGCTCTCTATCACAAACACTGACGCGCGCACAGAGAGAGAAGATTATTGATAATTGACAGGCTAAGTTTAAATTTTGTTCTTGGTTGTTTTTTTTTCTGTCAAAATGTCAGAAAGCATTTTGTATTATCCATCTGTGTTTTTAAAATTCTTTAAATGACGGACGTTTTACTATTAACACAGCACTATATTTCGGATTCATCTAAATTTATAGGCCTACTTGATATTCTTTTCATAATAGGCCTAAGTGATTCGTTTAGCTATTATTGGTCACGTGACTGGAGTCTGGACTCCTGTCTATTCATTGTCAACTATTTTCTATAAATATGTTTGTATTGGCTAACGTTTATTCAGCTAATGCGTGTCCTGTTTAAAATGTGCAATGTTCAAATGCAAAGACAGCACGTCACAAATAAAAGTCATTTTTTTCTGTGTGATTTAGTATCATATTTGGATATTGGAATAATAAATTAAGAAGCACTATCTTAAGTCAATGGTTAGGCTACTAATCAATTCTTAGTTTACTTTGGAGTATTATAATTGCCACCCACTGACCTTTCTTGGTATGGCTGTAGTATGTAGTCTCAGTATGCTATACAAGCAATAAGTATGCAGGTAAGTGACTAGTTAAAAGCAGGGATGGATTAATGAACTGGCCTACCAGGCCCAGGGTCCCAGGAGCTCTGGTGCTCTACACAAAGATGCTAATGTAATGTAGTATTGGGTTTGTTCATGATGTCCATTTATATCTACAAAAGTCACCAGAATCTGAATCATTTAAGGGACTACTGGTATTTATCAAAATGTTCTCCCAGGGGAGCACACCCCTGGATCCCGCTTGACAATTATGTTGATCAGGGCATATATCTTGGCTTAGGGGCCGCTTACCTCCCAGGGAAAAAAGTTCAGGCTCAGGATTTTTTTCAACTATCACCCCTGGAGTTATCACCTCCTTTATGAATATTTATGTCTGCCCTAAAGAGATTGTATAGTTACAGTATTTTATAGCTTATTGGATCAAACCAATAAGCTATCTAGTCAAACCTTAACCACTTGTTGCCAGTTCCAAATTTTACTTTGTGAAATAAGCATAGACAGTATAAGAAGTGGACAGAGCCATCTCATTGGAACTCAGTTGAGACAGTTGAAGCCCATTTTTAGCGATTTTTGAGCACTTCCGTTCCTGACGCGCAGACTCAAACCGACTCAAACTAAGCTTGATGACGTGAGCAACCTGTCTGACAGACGTAAATCTTCTAGTAGCTGTGCGTGAAAATTGCCAACGTTAATCTTGCAGAGACGGGGAACTTGAGCAAAGAGTTCTTTGGCGTGAGTGAGCAGGAGTAAGTATTCCGTTGCTTTTATAGACTCATTATCTATGGGCTTCTCCCTTGACGGGACGTCCCCCCGATTGCCTGCGAGCTTCTCCTCCTGTCTGTACGGTCATTTCTGTACAGCGCGACAGAGAGTCGAGTGGTTATGACGCAATCGTTAGCCTATTTTTACAAAATCTGTTTCTACGGGGCCATAATGTAACATAGAAGGTAATGGAGCTCTTTATACATTGTCGTGTTTCTTTAGAAATAAATAATGGACAAATGGAGTCTTTAAACGCCTCAGATGTAAAGTTATTCGCTGTCAAAGTGACGCCAAAATGAATGGGAGTCAATGGAAATGCTAACGCAAGTGAAGTTCTGCTACAAGATGGCGTCACTCGGCCAGCTTCAACTTCCGGTCGATGGATTACCCCCTTGGAAATAAGTGCTGGATCTTAAAGCTGCAGTCCGCAGTTTTTCCTCTTTGTCGCCATCTCTGTTCGAAATCTGCAATTGCAGTTATTCGCGGAATTATCAACTTTACGTGAGTTGTACCTCGACACCCTCTCGACACGGCACAGCGCGGATGAATCCAATGTTTTGAGGAGAATGTGCAGCTGTCAGTCGCACCGGTGTGGATACTGGCATTCAGAATCACAGATTCTACTTTTTGGAAGTATGACCAACATAAGAATTTTCACCCTAAATTGTTGTCTGAACAAGTAACATCCACGTTTGTTCTGACCAACTAAGGGGGGAAAAGCATTGCAGTAAAACGCGCTGATTAAATCTAACGATCGCTTATCATACCACGTCAAACCGTGCAAATTATACTTTGTTGTCAAATTGTTAATGTTAACAACATCAGCATTGCGTGACTACTTTTAAAGCCCTTCAGATATTTATCCTTGTTTTCGCATGGGCCGGTTGCAGTCTCTTTTTCCAAACTCTCAGTCCAAAGTCTTTTGCATTTTACAACGGGTGAATCTCTAGTTGTCACTGGTGATTGTCGTTTGAACCTTTCTGGATCCGCCATCAAATTAATAAGTTTAATTATATCAAGTACTGTGAGAAAAGGCTATAAATCTCCACCTCCAGCATCCTCACACGCAATATAACCTACTAGCCGAGACTCTTTCTTTATGTGAACAGATGTGACGTAATGACGCAAAGACATGCTTGAATTTCCCGCGGAAATCCACCAGTACCACTGGAGTTAAAAACATTATTACAAGCTTACCGTTTTGAATCGAGCTAAGGCAAGCAGAAAGTGTTGAACACTGGCTGGTTATGTACTTGCTCAAAAAGTTACAGACTGGAGCTTTAAATGCCACCAATTTATTTAGAATATGAACCTTTCGAATTGAATTGTGCGCACACAAAGCCAAAGTCCCTTTAAGACAAGTCATTTAACTCGGCAGACATATTTGAAACGCCTCTTGGGCATGCAAGTGCAGCTCCTATCTCTTTGAATGCGGAGACATAAAATTCTCCAAAACGACGGAGGGGTCATCCCAAGCATGTTGTCAGCTAAGTCACCATCATGGCTCCTCCTTCCGTCGACTCCGTCCTGGGCTGTTGTCCTTGCTGCGCTCTGGGTCTTCAACTTCAACATCCTCATGGATGCTCCCACCATCTACTCCTCCTTGGTTTCTCTGCCTGTCTGTCTGCCTGTTCTCACCAGCCCTTCACCTGCTCCTTTTCACCAGCCCTTCGCCAACTTCACGTCCTCCTCCAAAGCCCCCACCCTCCCCTCATCTCCCTTGTCACCTCCCTTGTCACGGCTCGAGGTCGCACCTTCCGAGAGGGTGCGTAATGTCACAGACTTTTAGTTATCTTGTTTTTAGTTTTATTTTCATGGACTCTTAGTTTGTATTCATTAGTTCCTGTTTTCCTTTGTTCAGCTTTCCCGCTCACTTATCAGTTGTCATGGTGATTAATTTACTCTCTCTCTCTCTCTCTCTCTCTCTCTCTCTCTCTCTCTCTCTCTCTCTATATATATATATATATATATATATATATATATATATATATATTTATATATATACTGTAGATTTACACTTACACACACACACATACATATATACACTCACCTAAAGGATTATTAGAAACACCATACTAATACTGTGTTTGACCCCCTTTCGCCTTCAGAACTGCCTTAATTCTATGTGGCATTGATTCAACAAGGTCTTTAGAAATGTTGGCCCATATTGATAGGATAGCATCTTGCAGTTGATGGAGATTTGTGGGATGCACATCCAGGGCACGAAGCTCCCGTTCTACCACATCCCAAAGATGCTCTATTGGGTTGAGATCTGGTGACTGTGGGGGCCATTTTAGTACAGTGAACTCATTGTCATGTTCAAGAAACCAATTTGAAATGATTCGAGTTTTGTGACATGGTGCATTATCCTGCTGGAAGTAGCCATCAGAGGATGGGTACATGGTGGCCATAAAGGGATGGACATGGTCAGAAATAATGCTCAGGTAGGCCGTGGCATTTAAACGATGCCCAATTGGCACTAAGGGGCCTAAAGTGGGCCAAGAAAACATCCCCCACACCATTACACCACCACCACCACCAGCCTGCACAGTGGTAACAAGGCATGATGGATCCATGTTCTCATTCTGTTTACGCCAAATTCTGACTCTACCATCTGAATGTCTCATCAGAAATCGAGACTCATCAGACCAAGGCAACATTTTTCCAGTCTTCAACTGTCCAATTTTGGTGAGCTCTTGCAAATTGTAGCCTCTTTTTCCTATTTGTAGTGGAGATGAGTGGTACCCGGTGGGGTCTTCTGCTGTTGTAGCCCATCCGCCTCAAGGTTGTGCGTGTTGTGGCTTCACAAATGCTTTGCTGCATACCTCGGTTGTAACGAGTGGTTATTTCAGTCAAAGTTGCTCTTCTATCAGCTTGAATCAGTCGGCCCATTCTCCTCTGACCTCTAGCATCAACAAGGCATTTTCGCCCACAGGACTGCCGCATACTGGATGTTTTTCCCTTTTCACACCATTCTTTGTAAACCCTAGAAATGGTTGTGCGTGAAAATCCCAGTAACTGAGCAGATTGTGAAATACTCAGACCGGCCCGTCTGGCACCAACAACCATGCCACGCTCAAAATTGCTTAAATCACCTTTCTTTCCCATTCTGACATTCAGTTTGGAGTTCAGGAGATTGTCTTGACCAGGACCACACCCCTAAATGCATTGAAGCAACTGCCATGTGATTGGTTGAATAGATAATTGCATTAATGAGAAATTGAACAGGTGTTCTAATAATCCTTTAGGTGAGTGTATATATATATATATCAATTTTAAAAATATGTATTATAGATATGTATTATAGTTTCTGAAAATATATATTTTATGCCATATGGGAAGTTTTTTTGTGTTCCATCATTTCCAGTGTAAGGACAATGAGGCAGAGTTCACAGAGGAGAACCTGATGTACTGTGTGGTGGATCTGTTTGGAGCCGGAACAGAGACCACCTCTAATACACTCAGATGGGCTTTACTCTTCATGGTCAAGTATCCAGACGTGCAAGGTGGGATATCAGTCAATCAACAAATGTGACTTCCTGTTGCTTCTCCTCAAAAGGTACCTTCAGCATGTTCTTTGTTGACTATTTTCTTTCAGAGAAAGTCCAATCTGAGATCGATCAGGTGATTGGACAGACACGTCAACTACAAATGGATGACCGAACAAATCTGCCGTACACCTACGCTGTGATCCATGAAATTCAGAGGTTTGCGAACATTGTCACCTTTACACCTCCCAGAGTGGCCAACAAGGACACAACAGTGGGAGGACAACTCATCCCGAAGGTCATTGCATTTTTATGTTATGTACAATACAGCATTTTGTCAGGTCAGTTATGTGCAACTTAAGAAAATTAAAGGGGTCCTATTAAGCATGTTCAACTCCCTTTAGTGTGTAATGTTACTGTTTGAAAAAGGACCAGAGGTGTAAAGTCCAGGTTCAGAAAGTAAAAGTGCTCCTCAGTATTTTGTTCCAAACACCTGGATTTACTAATAAGCACCGTTTTAGAGCCAGGAGATAGAACTAATTAGTGAAATCAGCTGGCTGAGTTCATGGGTGGAATAAACATATGGCAGGACTTTTACTTTCTGACCCCTGGACTGCAAAGTTCAAAAGCACAAAGTCCCTCCAAAGGGAGTTATTCTCAATATCAGTAAGACTGTTTCAGTGTTTCTGAACTCCCTGAAATGCCTCCAATTTAGTCTTGAGTTTTCTTCCCGGAATGAACACGTCACATTATTCCTCATTTAAATAATTCCTGCCAAAGGCATAAGCTAAATAAAGGGGCGGGGCATGGTTGAGTTAGTAGTGTGTTGAAACTCGTGGTTATGGTAAGGGGCGGGACATTTCTAGTGGTTGACCGATATATCGCCAAGGCCGATATATCGGCTGATATTTGGCATTTTTAAAATATCGGCATCGGCCGATAAGTTTTTCTGGTTGGCCAATGTGTTGGAAGCGGGACTTTTATTTTGACGGCGCTCCAGACTTTTATTTTGACGGGCTGCGCTGAGGACACCAGCACCTGAGAAGAAAACAGCAGCGCCTGATCACCAAGGGGGTAATCCACCAGCCGGAAACTGAAGTCTCCCCGGGGGCCGCCATTGGCTAGCTAGCCTTCACCTGCTGTTAGCATTCCATTGATTCCCATTCATTTTGGCGTCACTTTGACAGCGAATAACTTTACATCGGAGGCGTTTAAAGACTCCATTTGTCCATTATTTATTTCTAAAGAAACACGACACCAAGGCTCCATTACCTTGTATCTTACGTTATGGCCCCGTAGAAGCAGTTTTTGTAAAAATAGGCTAACAATTGCTTCATAACACGCGACTCTCAGTAGAGAAATACCGTATAGACAGAAGGAGAAGCTCATGTCAATCAGGGGGACATGGGGGCATAAAGTCAAGGGAGAAGCCCATAGAGAGTTGTAAAGTTGCTCCTGCTCATGGACAGCTCCTACTCACGCTCTCCGGCTCTGCAAGATTCGGAAGGGAATGATTCAGATTCCTCTTGGCACAGCTACTAGAAGACGTACAGGTTGCTCACGTCACATCTACGTCGTCAAGCTCAGTTTGAGCCTGCGCAGTCGCTCGGCCATCAGGAAGTGAGTGCTTCTAATTGACTTCAATTTTCTCCGTTGAAGTCTATGGGGTCGCTGTGTCCATTTCTTTTACTGTTTATGCTGATCACACGGCGCTCACTCACATTCTCAGTCTTCATTAGTTTACGATCTCTGTCAGTCATATCTAATACTTTGTTAGACAGAACTGGTAAACAAAGAAAGTAAATGGTATGCGAAAAAGTAAAGCGTTGCTTTTATATTATTTGTAACAGAAAAGGCAAACAATCAGGCTAAAATACTTGATAATTTACCATCTACATTCAGCAAATGCGCATCTACATCATTTAAACAAATCTCTGAATATCTAATAAACATTTAATTTCACAAACCTTGCAGATTTAGTCGAATCCAGCTGTGATATCTTGTGAAGTGTGCATTTGTAGCCTGCATAAACGTTACTGAGAGTGAATGGTCGGTCTGTGCGAAGTGAGTGAATGCGAACAGAAGATCAGCTTCACAGGAGACGTGATCGAAAAACTTTAAATCCTTAATTTTAAAATATGCTATCCAGTTGCCCACTGTGTCATATTAATATCGGTTTCACTGTGTGCTGTATGTAAAATTACTGTTACCTTGTCTTTATTTGAGAAAATATGATTACCAGTGCGCACGAAATTACCAGATTACTGAGTGCCCTGTTACAGTGTTTACTTCCTTTTTATTTACATATTCATATATTTTTAAACAATTACTTTATTTGTGAAAAATACTGTAATAGGATTGCAGATTCAAGAAGTTGCCATCTAAAGTATAAGCATGTTTATTTTAAGGATTTGTTTTCTAATTTATTTCTAATTTATTAAATATTGATTAAAATGAATATAAAGTGTGTATATATATATATTAAAAAATATATATATATCGTCTTTATATCAGCCATCGGCCACCCTGCTCTCTAAGATATCGGCATCGGCCATCAAAAAAACAATATCGGTCGACCATTCACATTTCCCAAACACATTCGAAGCGCTTGACCAATCACAACACACTGCTCCAGCCGACCAATCAGAGCACATTGTGCTTTTCAGAAGGAGGGGCTTCATAGAGACAGAAACTAAACAGAGCGTTACTGACAGACTGGGAAGAGAGGAACTGCAACAATGGAGAATATGAGAAAAATGAAAAAATTCAAGCATGAAAACCTATTCTACTATAGAGTACAAAATCAAGACTTTGTAAAAGGGCATACTATGGCGTCTCTAATGAATCTATAACTCACTCTTTATCTGTGATAATTACAGGGTGTGATGGTGCTGCCGTTGCTAAAGACAATCCTACAGGATAAGAATGAGTACAGCACTCCATATGAATTCAACCCTGCGCACTTTCTGGACGAAAATGGCATGTTTTTGAAAAAAGACACTTTCATCCCTTTCTCAATAGGTAAGTTATGTCCATACAGCTCTATCATCATGTTTACTCAGATTATGAGCATATTTGCTGATCCAGACCTTGATTTCCAGGTAAGAGGATGTGTCCAGGTGAGCAGCTCGCTCGTATGGAGCTCTTCCTCTTCTTCACGTCTCTGATGCAGCGTTTTACCTTCCTGCCTCTGGAGGGACAAACGCTGAGTCTGAAAGGATCTATAAGCGTCTCGTTTGGTCCTGAACCCTTCCAGATATGTGCAGTGCCTCTATAGTGAAGATTAGAATCATTCAAAAATCAGCTTCCTTACAGCAGTTCTGTTCCTGAATCATGTTCAAGCACCAGTGTTTATTACATAGGTTCTGGGCGTCAAAATGCAGAGACAACAAACTTGATACGATATTTCAGTACTCAGACCTGCCCGACTCTACTGTTCAAAAGTTTGGGGTTAGTATGAATTTTAAAATGTTTTGTTACAAATGCAATTATTACAATTTAAAATAACTGTTTTATATTTAAATATTTAAAATGTAATTTATTCCTGTGATCAAAGCTGATTTTGCAGCATCATTACTCCAGTCTTCAGTGTCACATGGTCCTTCAGAAATCATTCTAATATGCCGATTTGCTGCTCAAGAAACATTTACTATTATTATCAATGATGAAAACAGTTGTTCTGCTTCATATTTTTGTGATAACTTTTTGTTGTTTTCAGGATTCTTTGATTAATAGAATGTTCAAATTAACAGCATTTATTTGAAATAGAAATCTACATTATAATCTCATATTTGATCAACAATTTGCTGAATACAAGTATTATTTCTTTATTAAAAAAAGATCTTACTGACCCCAAACCTTTGAATGGTACTTTAATTGGCGCTTTAATAACTAATTTGCATCCTCGTTTGGATCCTTAAAATATTTCTGTAGGAACTTTGGCAGATGTCATTTAGAGAATTTGGAGTCTGAATGTTTTGCAGACAAACACCAATTAAATTTTCTGCATAGATCATATTATTAACATATTGACCAATATGTTCTGAGGGCAAAGTCGAAACTTAATGAAACAGATAGACATGAGGATGTTGTGAGGATGCTATGTTTGCGTAAATTTAGTCAAGTACAACTAAAAGCCACCATTTGATCAAAGAAGTTTGAATTTGTCTTGCTTTTACTGGTAAATATTTATCTAATTTCTCAAATCTAGAGATCCTTGTGACAAAAGTTTTTATATAGTTTTTTTTTCCCCTTTCATCACATACAAACTTTGTGCAAATACTGGACTAGCATTTATTTGAAATATAAATCTTTTGTAACATTATAAATGTCTTTACTGTCATTTTTGATCAATTTAATGCATCCTTGCTTAATAAAAGTATTATTTTCAAAAAAAGAAAAAGTCTTACTGACGTTACTGAAACGTTTTTTTTCTTATAATCAATGTTGTGAACAAAAACAGTTGTGCTGTTTTTCATTATATCGGAGATGAGAAAAGGATCCAGTTCAATACATTACATGTGAAATGTCATGTGAAATATTTGAGCAAATATAAAACCTGATCTGGTATTGTATCTCAATGCCAAGTTGTACATCTATAAAGCCACAAAATTCATGCATATCTTCACAGGATGATAAATATGGTTCATGAATATTAATTAGATGACATGATGGTCCAGGAAGGGCCCAGAATCATGATCATTAATTTAGTTCGGTTGACAAGTAATAGTCTGAACCCTTGAAAATCAAGTAAACTGGCAGTAATCTAGGCCATTAGCTCTGCAAATGTCTCAGGTGATGAACAAACACAAACACCATAGAAATTCCTAACTGGCATGATCAGGTCGAGGGTTTAAAATAATTTCTTTGAGGTAATGGCTATCTCAGATACAGACTCCACAGTGAGACCTGAATTACAGTTACAGTAGGAGTATATTCTGATGTGAAAATCTCTGAAAATATGAACTTGGTATACACTATTTCTAATAGTCTGTTTTGTATGATGATCATTGCAGCGTTTCTATTACAAATGAGTCAAAAAATGTGGTTTACATATGTTGAAGAAGTTAATTTAATATTAATAAAACATTGTGGTTTTAAACATTTGCATGCAGCTGATGGGAGTGGAAAGTTGTACGGGTGATATAGAATGCACAAATTGTGACTTCAGGCTCAAAAAAGACAATTATTTTGTACATATAAATACACACACATGCATGTATATATTTAAGAAAAATGTGTTATTATATAAAATATAATATAAATTGTGTAAAATATATATATACAGTATATACATGCAAATATTTCTTAAATATACATGCATATGTGTGTATTTATATATACAAAATAATTATACACAGTACACACACATATATTATGTAAACACAAACTTTTATTTTGCATGCTATTAATTGCGATTAATCATAGCCCAGCACTAAAAGAAACAAAAATAATAATGTTAATAATATTATTATACATAATATTATTAATATTATAAATTTTAAATATATATATATATATACAACTTTGTTATATATACAAATTTGTGAGTAGGGGGAGGCTGCAGACCTGGAGCAGATTAGATAGGCCTTCGCCCCAGGCACTTTTACGGCCCTGTTGTTCCTAATGCGTCCACTAGGGGGAGGCTGCTATAGTTAATGTTGTTTAGCAATGATGCTACATTTTATTATTTATAAACGATGAACTAGATAGAGCTAGGGTAGGTAGATATCAATTCATTTCTATATGGATGGGTCTATAATTTATTTCGAGAGACAAAACGTTCTTGACGGTCGGGTTGATGTATGGCTCAAACTTAGCTAACCACGTGTAGCCTATAGGTTTAGCTGCCCCTAGTCTTCTCTACTCACTTTAAAATTCATTTTCTTTTTAATTTTCTTTTGTTGCCTGTCTTTAGCTTGCGTGAGATGTCTCTTCTGGTAAGACCCTGTTTACTCCTTGCTTTAAAACATATTCCACATGGTTTCTGACCTGGGGCAACGTTACAGATATTGGAAATATGTGAACTTGTTTTTTGTTTTGTTTTACAGTCTATGGTGTGAACACAAAAAAACACATTTATAATAGGCATATATGTGTATTTAAATCTCTCCAAGTAAAGAGTTGAACTGCACACTCACTCAAATATTTTGATTATTTCCAACGTCATAGCCTACATGATGAAACCCACATTACAAACTTGTCCCATATGGTTTGAATGTAGATTCTGGTTTGAGTTGTTCCTTATAAATGAGATGATCTAATTATACAATTTATATATAATTTTTTTCTTAAAATAGCTTAGCTACTGATCTGGCTAAAATGTAGGCTATGTGCACTTAATGTGGGGTTTATCATACTCTGTCTTTACCAAGTTCTCTTTAACTTGCATCTCATAAAGGTGTGTGTTTGCTTTAGGTACTTAAGGAAATTAAAATCTCTCTCTCTCTCTCTCTCTCTCTCTCTCTCTCTCTCTCTCTCTCTCTCTCTCTCTCTAAACTTGTATAAATCATAAACACCCATCTCTTTTTTTTAACTGCATTCCAAACCAATATCTTGTCTAGTAAATAAACGACTTACAGAGACATACATGGACATGTTTTTGATGTCATTTTCAATTTTCTCTGCACAGTCCATCATCAGTGGTCAAAAGAAAAGTGGCTTGACACTTTTTCCAAAAGTGTTCCATCAACAAGTGCCTGTGCCGTTGTACTTTGAAGATCAGGAGCAAATTAATGCAATCCACTCACCTGACATCAATTCTGGGTAGCACACACACACACACACACACACACACACACACACACACACACACACACACACACACACACACAGAGAGAGTGACAAGATTAAATTCACCATGGATGTCCTTTTAAATTTTTTTAATGTTCAATTTTTTTATCAGTGAGTAGGGGCACTTTGACAGGAGGATAGAAAAACAGAGTGGCAAGCCATAGTTATCCACGGACGGGAGTCATCATAATTCATAAATGGTGTTAATAAATGTGTTTTTTTGTGAACAACAATATTGTCTCTTTCTTCTAAATGGCCCTTGGAATTTTTGAAAAGGGATAAATTGTGTTTGTCTTCATAAAATGCTAGGACACTGTCTTGTAGCTGTATGACGACCAATAGTGAATAGTAGGCTACAGCTGATATTTTCATTGAGGATCCATAAGATTACACGGTACTGTACGTCTTATGGGCTAAATATGGTTAATATCTAAATTTAACTTTATTTAAATTCACAACAACATATTTCACTCAGTCTCCTGTATATAAAAACGTATGGTGAATATAACTATTCTACAGACATGGGGACTTGTGACTTGGACTCGAGTCGCTATTTTTATGACTTGTGACTTGACTTGACATAAAATGAAATAGTTGAGACTTGACTCGGACTTGAATGACTTGAGTGTTAATCACATCATGTTTTCAGTTTGAATATAAAATATATAAATTATTTTAAAAACAAACAAGTTGATCCAGCTGGAGCGCAGGCTGAGAATAGCGTTGTCATGACTGGATCACGACACTATCATCAGTCATGCCCTCTCGTACCTTACGCACACCACGCCCACTTAGACATCACATCAAAATGTCAGCCGGAGGGGTACCTTTTAGACAGTAAAAGAAATGGACACAGCGACCCCGTTGATTTCAACGGAGAGAGTTGAAGCCCAACATGGGCACTCACTTCCTGATAGCCAAGCGTACTGCGCAGGCTCAAACTGAGCTTGATGACGTAGTTGTCACGTGAGCAACCGTTCTGACCTTCTAGTAGCTGTGCCGGGACAAATCTGAACTGAAATCTGAAACAAATCTGTTGTTGAAATATTTTGTCCCGTTGCTTTTATGAACTCTCTATCTATGGGCTTCTCCCTTGACTTTATGCCTCCACGTCCACCCGATTGCCTCATAGACAGTAAACGATTGCCTACGAGCTTCTACTTCTGTCTATACGGTGATTTCTCTACTGTGCGACAGAGCGTCCGGTGGTTATGACGCAATCGTTAGCCTATTTTTACAAGAATGGCTTCTACGGGGCCATAACGTAAGATACAAAGTAATGGAGCCTTTTATACATTGTCGTGTTTCTTTAGAAATAAATAATGGACAAATGGAGTCTTTGGACGCCTCAGATGTAAAGTTATTCGCTGTCAAAGTGACGCCAAAATGAATGGGAGTCAATGGGATGCTAACAGCAGGTGATAGCCAGCTACAATGGCGGCCCCCGGAGGCAGCTTCAACTTCCGGCTGATGGATTACCCCCTTGAGGGGTACCGAGGGTCATCGCTTTCGGCTTCAAGAATTATTCACAAGATGGCAAAAGACGAACAGCGCTTTGCAAGACATGCAGCATTAACATTGCGGGCAGCCAGACGACAACCT